TAAGTCTATTTAAAGGTTTTGTGAGCTTTTGAGGTGAATACTGGCATTTTTGTGCTTTGTAAAGAATATTACCATAAAAGATTGGATGTGAAATACCCGAACGTATAAGATGTCTGCATGTTGAGTTATATTTACGAATGATGTCCTTATACCGATGATAAAATTTAGTAAATGTTTTGACTAGTTTATGATATCGAAAACCCTGGTGTAATAATTTTTCAGTAATACATAAATTTCTCTCGCTAAAATCTAACACGTTGTTAAATACACGAGCGAATCGTACAAGTTGAGATGTATAAACACCATAAGATGGTGACAAGGGAACGTCACCATCTAAAAATGGATAATTAACGACAGGAAATAAAAAATCATCTTTTTTATCATAAATTTTTGTATTAAGCTTCCCGTTAATGATATAGATATCAAGATCGAGGAAAGGACAGTGGTCATTGTTAGTATTAGCTTTATTTAAAGTAAGTTCCACAGGATAAATTTCTTTAGTATACATACTGAAGTCGTCATTATTGAGAGCCAATATATCATCCAAATATCTAAAAGTATTGTTAAATTTTTGTATCGGATGTTGTTTCGATGGGTCTTTGCTGATTTTAGTCATAAATTGTAACTCATAACAATACAAAAACAGGTTCGCAATAAGTGGTGCACAGTTAGTCCCCATTGGAATTCCGATAACTTGACGATATACGGAATCTCCAAAGCGAACAAAAATGTTATCAAATAAAAATTCAAGGGCAGATATATAGTATCAAAGCATGTCCAATTGACATAGCTCTTTTGTTTGTTGCTACTAAAAAAATGACCTAAAAGAGTTTGAACATATGTATTCGCATTCCGACTTTTTAAATGCCCATTTAATTAGGTGTGTGAATTTTTTCTTAATAAAAATATGAGGCAAAGTGGTATATAGGATAGAAAAATCAAAACTTTGAACAGATTCAAAATCACCAATATATGCATGCAATTTATCAAGTACTTCCAACGAGTTTTTGACACTCCAAAAGTAGTTAATTCCACTATTTTCAAAGGCCTTATTTGAACAATTTATTATCAGGTTTTTGATTGTACCAAGTGTACTAGTAAGTAGAATAGACAATTTAGTAGTGGAACAATGACTTGAAGACGAAATAAATCTATATTTGTAATGTGATTTGTGTAGCTTCGGAAGCCAGTACATAGTTGGGACTTTCGTTGTATTTGGTTCTGCTTATAAAGAAGTAGCTAATAGTTTATGTTTGTTACAGATATCGTTTTCTGAAAATGAAGTCAGTTGGAATGTTGGTGAATTCGTGATTTCCTTTTGCAGAACCTAAATGTAAAATTTACGTCAAACTATAATAATATTATTAGCAGCTTTATCAGCCGGGACAAAAACAAATTCCTTGGCTAGTTCTTTTAGTTTATGTTTGATACGAGAAATAGGATTTTTATGGTTGTTGTTAAGAGTAAAATGTTCTTTAAAATGTTGTATACGTATATCAACTATCTTCATTACTGAATTATCCATTTCAAACAGTAAGCACCAAGTGAGTCGTGGATGATATTACGACACTCATTCCAATTAAAAATTGACGGGGGGCGATATTTAGGTCCTTTACTGAGGAATGATTTTAACTCTCGGTCGCGAACGATGTTAAGGTCTCCTGTTATAACATGGGAAATGGGGCCATAAGTGTATTTGGAATTACTACAATTACATGACGGAGGTGTATTTTCACTGATATTTACATCTTTACAGACTTGGCTATAATTAAACACAAATTTTCGAGTAGATTTCTTGTAAATATAACAAATAACAGGGAGTTCAGTATTATCAAAATATCCAGGAATTTGTTCTTTAAAAGAATGGTCGTTAAAAATACCGGCAATATTTACAAAATCAAAACCTTTATTGACATACTTTATTTTAATAAAATGTTTTTTATGATCTTCAGGGCGATTAATTTTGGGAAACAGTTTAGAATAACAATATGCCATTATAATTTGAACGATTTCATACTTAGGACTGCAATATGAAATTGTGTTGCAATCCTCTAAAATTTTATTTAATTTATTTATAGGTAAAGAACAGAGCTTGGTTAATAGATAATGTCTGCCGTTGTTTTTTGAAATATAAATTAGGTCCGAAATATTTGTATGGTTGGTCCGAAATTTTCTTTGATTGCGATTTTTTCTACGCCCATGAGAACGGTTTTTACGAACAGTTTTAGAAACTATATCCAAAATGTTAACAGAATCGGTTCTTGATATATTACCAATAGCCATGATATTATCATTAAGACCGAGAGGGTAGACTGTCTGTAATTTTTTAATCCAATTTAATTCAATTATTTTCCGTGATCGTACAAACTTTGAATGTGATTCACCAGGCTGCTTATTTACTACTTCTAAAGGTTGAACTGTTAAATATTTAATAGGATGGTTGCGCTTTTTAAGATGTTGATAAATGATACTTTTGAATTTGTTGGGTCTTTTAAAACGATACAGGTGTTCTTGCGTGCGTTTAGATAAATATCGTCCAGTTTCACCTACGTACTGAATACCGCATCCCGGTTTGTTTCGTGTGAGTAAATAAATAATACTGTTTGTTTTTCAATTTATATCAGTTTCAAAATTTAAAGAAAATGTGCGACCATTAAACGTGGACCTTACCGTATTGTTGGTGGAAAGATGGGGACATGTAAGTCATTTTTTTATCATGACACTAGTATTCCCCATTCTAAAGTTAAAGACAGATTGAAAGAAAGTCCTTTGTTTTCTTATAACGAATGTCCAACCCGAATACAAATACTTTGTTTTAGGGGGGGATAACTCATTCTTAGTGGGGGATAAATCATTCTTAGTGGGGGATAAATCATTCTTTATAAAAAATCACTCTGATTCAAACAAATAATGCGCTGAAACTGACATCATCAATATGCTTGATTTGTTTAATTGACAATACATTTGCTACGTTTAGAGGACGTGTTTTTCAACAAACAATCGGCATTCCTTTTGAAAACAACTGTTCTTCTTGCCGGCTTTTTCCTTTAATCATATGAGACAGAGACTTCATACATAAGCTTCGCAGGAAGAATGAAAAGAAGCTATCATGTAACTTCAAGTTCCGTTATATAAATGATGTTCTCTCACTAACGTATTTAATAGTTTTTGGTGACTTGTATGTTGAACATATCTATGAAATTAAACTTGAAATAAATCATACCGCTAATGCAGTTACGTCTGTCTCATATATGACTTACATATAGAAATTGACAATGAAGGTAGGTTGTGACCAAAACTTTTCGGTAAAAGGGTTAATTTCAGTTTCCCAGTTGAGAACTTTCCCTCTATATGTAGGTACATTCCAGTATATGGAGTATATATCTGCCAGTTGATACGACATTCCAGAGATTGCATTTCTCTCGTGATTTTCGTCATAGAGGGTTGCTGCTTACCAGGAAGCCATTTAACCAATGGTTGCAAGTGGTTAAGATAAAATTATCCCTTTGAAAGTTTTACGGACGCTATCACGAGTTGTTTGACCGTTATTGAATGTGGATATCTGTGTCACAGATGACCACATAAATGTTCTAATTGTTGTAACCACACCCCTGTCCTGTTGACTCCATTTGTGATAGCATCGAATGAGACTAATCATCAATTGAGTTTAATCACATAATTTGTACTTAAAACTTACAATGAACAACAAGAAGGATACCACTAGTGAAACAGGATCTGCATACCCTTCCAGAGCACCAGAGGTCACCCCAGGTTCTAGTGGGATTCATGTTGCTCAGTCTAAGGATTTTTTTATGTAATGGATTTTTTGTCGACTTGTTTGGTTTTGTCCTCTTTCTTTGTTTTGACATAGCGTTATCAGTTTCATTTTGATTTATGAGTTTTGAATTTCCCCTTACTATCATTCGCCTCTTTTTTTAGTAACAAAGTGTCATATATATTCCAGTGTTGTCAGTGTACATCAGTCTGTTAAAGTCATATAGAACGAATTTGTGGTAATAATAATGTTAAGGAAATAATTGAACCGCTACATGTATATATACCAAATTTAGTCCTCTTTGCATATTTCTTACATTTATCGCCAATCCATAACGTATAATTAAACAAACAATTATATTTCATTCGGTGCTTGTTGATCGGATACTTTGGCTGCTTATGTACTATCGGGTGTTCTGCCGAAGTTTACCGATCATAACCTTGACAAACAATCAACACAGAATCACATGGAGCACGTGAAAAATAAGTGAGATGATAGAGCGAGTTTTTTTTGTTTTTGTGTCTTTATTCCAATACGGTCCTATTTGTAAATCAAGCTTTGTCATAACAGCTGTTAAATGATTTGGTGTACTATTTTTTTTCTTTCATAATCGAATATTACCGTTTTATCAGTTTTTTTCCTTACGGAAAAGCTGTCGGTACGGATGACAATAATTCAATAACAGTACTTTTCTAAAGATATGGATAAAATAAAGAATTTTCTTTCAAAAGAAAGTCTATGTATACAGGTGCTTTATAGTAAAATAAAGCCATGCAAATATCTGAAGGTTATCCATCCTATGATGATCTTTGGTGGGTTTTAATTTCCTCTGTTTGGAATTGAACATCACGGATGAAAATATGTCCATATGGTTCATCAATTCATATTTAGGTCCATGTAACTTGTACTACATTGCTTTTCGTTACTTTTCGTTACTTCACATGTCTCCCTGATAGTGGAGGGAAATATTACCGTAAATACAAATCAATGTAAAAATAAGGAGATGTGGTATGATTGCCAATTAGACAACTATCCACCAAAGTTCAAATGAAGTGGATGTAAGCAATTATAGGCAACCGTACGGCCTTCAACAATGAGAAAAACCCATACCATATGGTCGGGCTATTATTATCACTTTATATTGGACATCATCTGCTAAACGATACTAGATGATTGTTTCAGATCTTGGGTATTTGGAAATATAATGTTTTTGTTTCACTTGTAGCTACCAACCTCAATGGATGTTCATGGTATGGGAAAATACCTCTGTATAGGGGACTTTATTTGTCTTTACTGTGAAGAAACTGAAGGATATGTTTACAGCATACAATCGAGGTAAACAATAGTTTAACAGTGAAATAATATTTAATGTAGATGTATGAATTAGCATGGTAATGGGCAAAATGGGAGAAAAGATAATTATCATAAAAAGTTAATTAGAGTGAAATGAAAGGTGATACAATGTGAAGTAACTAGAGTGTAACATAGAAAAACATAAGATGTTATTAAGTATGTAGCCACGCATTAATGGACTCCTTTTCTCAGCCTTTATCATGCAAGAAAGACCATTTCAAAGTTATTGTTACTATTGATGTATTAAGTGTATGATCTTGACCAAATTTCGGTTTCATGTATATTACTATAGCTGTATGAACAATGGATTGAATGTTTTCTGTTTCATGTATATTACTATAGCTGTATGAACAATGGATTGAATGTGTACACTAATCAGGACAGAAATCGACCTAGAAATGTTCCGAATCCTCAAGGTAGATTAAATTATATGTGACGGAATTTGTTAAAAAAAAAAACTATACCCTCTTAAAAGCACAAAACAGACAACCCACAAAACCCTTTATTAAAATAATCGCTATTTTATTGTCAATTTGTGTGATAAATAGTACTTGATAGCGTCATGCATCCCAATGATTTAGTGATATTAAAGAATACAATGTAAAGTTTTAAAAGTTTATGGAGTGTAAAGTTTGTGATAGACACCTACGATGACGAAAAGGTTTCAAACGACTGTCCTATATTCGTATGTCCATGAAAAATTGTTTTGCTTTTTAAAGCCCTAATGTGATTAGAATATATCATATGAAGAAGAGGTGTCGCGGAGGTAAGACAGCTACATATCGACACGAAATATACAAAAAAGACATTTCGAGGTCCACATACCGTACAAGTGTTTAAACGCCGAGGTCAAAAACGCAAAATTATACAAAAGTTATTTTTAATTTATAAATCAAACAGAGGCTGTTAAGGGCTGGCTCTAAAAATCTAAGTCCCTATACAAAAAAAAAAAAAAAAAAAAAAAAAAAAACCACTGGCCAGGTTCCTGATTAACTATGCGGCTTAGTTTATATTTAATCTGCTGTTATTAGCACATATCATTCCTTTTTAAACATCGATCAGTGGAATAACACAAGCACGTTTTCTACGGTTTTCACAAACATATAAGTTGACATTTTATTCAAGGATATAGTACATTTTGTATTTTAAATACGAATATATAGATGATGATACAAAGGTATTTTTGTGCCAAACTAAAAGTTATTTTCACGGTAATTAATATGTTTTATCGACAAACATTCAGCTGAAAACAAATTGTACTATAACGACAAGGCTTGTTTGAATTGATTTATTTATTTAGAAATGTAAAATGGCAAAAGAAAAGATTTGTAACAACAAAGTATGCTAATATCGAGAGTAAAGAATAGATAAATTAATAATTATAGATTTTATTTTGTAGTAATTGTCTTTCAAATAACGATTCAAAACAGATACAAACTGAATAAGAAACTTAGGAAGATAGAGTTTAATGAAATTGACACATCAGAAGTACACGAATCTTCTATTTCAAAGGCAGCAAATAAGAAAATAAAAGTAAGTGAGATGACAATACTAAAGGCATTGTGATTTTTGTTTGACATTTCGTCCTATTCTGTGAATATTGTTATCGGAGACGGCATACATTCTTGCAAGAACAAGCGAGTATCTATTTTGGTTTATATAGTCTTAATTCACCTGTTTTATACAAGTGTAAGAGACGGTAGTTCATGCCAAACTTATAATATTCAGCAGAAGTCAAGGCAAGTAAAATCAATAGAGAAGTCTGTGAAAACATTGAATATGTTAGACAATAGTTAGTGTTATCACGTGTTACCACGTCAAGAAGACATTAGGTGAACAATAAAGTTCATTTGTGCTAGTAAAAAGACATTATCAATGAGACTAAGAACGACCGAGAATTATTTTTAATTATGTAAATATTCTAAATTGGGGAAAAAAAACTGTAGAAAATCCTAATCACAGATTGTCAATAAAAAGCCGATACATTAAAAAGATCCGATGACTTAAAATGACTTATCTGATTGACCCGTGTTTTGTGGTAATTGTGTTATATATATTTTGTCAATTTCATTTTGAATAATATGCATTTATATGGTCAAATATTGGTTTTGGCATTAATATTGTTATAAATAAATTTTAATGTTACTCATAAAATATGCTTTAATCAAAGATTTATATAAATCCTTGCTTTTAATGACTTTTAGTTGATATATGTTCTAGGTGTAGATACGGAAGGTCGAGATCTAGTAATTGCAGTAACATTTTCATGAAGAAAATTTGCTCAATATTTGTGTTTAAAGATAAATTTATATACATTTCTCCACTAAAAACTTATTTGTCAAATAAAATATTTAGAGAATAACAGTTAAAACACATTTTAACATATATTTTGTAAGCCTCGATTACAAAAATCAGAAAGTATTTAACACCTATTTGTAATGTATCTTACTCTATACAATTTCAATGATTAAGCAGAAAGAATAAATATGCATCAATTTATTCAAATTTAATCGTAAAACTTGCTTTCCTTTCTGCCTATATATACCTTTAACACATGTATATACTTACTGCTTCTTAAATTGATTATATATGTGTTTTTAGGCGTCCGCTGAAGCGGAAAACAAAGACAATGAAGCCGAACAGAAGCGACAGTTTGGGAAGAAAGTTCGTTACGGGGAGATAATTCAGGTACATATTGAAATTATCATGATAAAGGCATTCTATTGGACCAATTACTAAAGAATTCTGCATTCACTGACGTCAGTGCCCATTGCAGCATGGACATATGAAAAAGTACATGATGAAATATTTCAAAATAGAATTTTAATTAGCATCTTACATAGATAGAAGAAATGGAAGTCATCTTTTACGAAGGAGTTACACGATCTCAAACAAATTTCATAAATAATATAGATGAAAGTGATATGGGGTAAACGTCAGCAACCCGACGACTTAAAAAAAAAAACAAAACAAAACAACCCCCATCAACGTGACAATTAGAGGTCAACATACGGATTTAAACAAAAAGCAATTGTCGATACAAATTATCAAGATCTATATCGCCCTAGTCTAAGTAAGGTGTAAATTTAAATATTTGTATTTCAGCTTCGCCATGTGTTCTCAGGGAAGTATATTCACTCCAGTACAACACAAACTAGCCAGAAAGATAGAAACAATATGAGGGTATGCAAATTAATAGTCCGTATGCATTAAGATTCAAATCAAATGTTTATTAACACTCCGACACAAAATATGAGTAACATGAGGATACATTTCAAACCAAGTACAATAAATGACAGAATAGACAGGAAACTAGAAACACACGTATACTTTCTAACAAATCTGTTTACGTAACTATCTACATGGAGAAGACAGTTCCTTAATAAATATGTGTGTATAGATAAGTTATGTAACAACTGACAGTGAAATAATGACAGCACCTTGAGCAGTTTTAGAATAGATGGGGATTGCTATATAATATTTCGGAATGTGTATCTTCCTCAGTTCAATAATAGACTAGTGGTGTTATTACATGCATGTAAGAAATGATATGCATCACCAATACATTCTTTACATAAGACACATATATTGTACCAACGACCAGTTTTTTCTCGGTCTCGAAATCCAGATTATTTTGTCATCTGGAAAACGAAGTAAATAATTTTCAAGGCAAACATTGAGCTTTAAACAACTTATGATATTTACCTTGAGAAGAGTTTTCAATATTACTAGATAACTTTTGAACAAATTGATCCCGACGAATCTGTTTCATGAACAACTTCAAATGTTTAAAAATCATTGTTTTGGTTGGAAACATATCAGTAAACCTTATCCTGAGTTATCAAATTTAAATTTCCAAAAAACTCCTATTTAATATCAAAAATATGTGATTTAAAAAAATATGTAAAAAATAAAAATCAACAAAGACATGAGAATTCCTGTATAAATCATTTTTTCATCAGATTATTGCATGTAGCTTATGACCACAACATTATATACATTGAATCATTAAAAATCTTCAAGTGGGCGGTGCCAAATTTACTGGCAATAAATACGGAAGCCAACAAAAAATAGTATCATTTCAGTTATCCGTTAGCTAAAATACCAATTTACTACAACAATGTCTTTACGTGACCTAACCAGAGAGCAATCTGACTTTGCTGTCAGATTTGTTAACTGTGGGGGTGTCATGGTACGCCAGAGAGTCCACATAGCAACAGAAGACAGAATAAGAGTAAATGAAATTTACCAAGTCAAGTGGAACAGAGACGAGTACGCTAGTGCCATCATCCTTGGTTCTGGTGACTACGCGGCAATGTCAGCCCTAGTAGAAAAGGCAAATAAGGACCACAGGTTTTCTCTAGCAGTCGAGAGTGATGACCCTTCAAGTCCACCTGTCGAGAGAGCTCAACCCAAAAAGAAAAGACTGACCAAAAAACCAGCACTCAAACCATCAGGTCCAATACGGCAAACACCAGGTAGACCAAAGGCTTTCAGGTCAAAAACTCTACGACCCCTAACCAAAAGTGGTAAACCGGCAGCAAGAGTGATTAGGGTTGTCACTCCGCCAGGGTTTTACGACCCTTTACCAGTCATCAGATGCCCTGTCAACAGACGTCCCACTGCCACTACACCACAACCAGCATCTCCTGAAAGTTCCTTATCAGACACAACCAGCAGTCCCCCTACCTGTACCAACTACTAGTACACCAGTTTCCATCCGTGGTCAAAATCCGACAGCACCAACTCCACCGCTAGTATCGTCCTTTACACCAGCCAGACCACCCAATACATCAAGTCAGCTTGGTCCTGTAATGTCTGCACTTGCAGCAATAGGTTCTGCAGTTACATCAATTCAGAAAAACCTTGTCACTCTCAACAAAAAAGTTGACACAGGCCTCCGTAGGTTAACAGAGCTGGAAGTGATGCATAACAGACTGGAGAGCAAACAGGACAAGATATTATCCAGACAACATAGGATCACCATTACAGCAGTAGTAGACAACGATCTACAGGTACCTGCCATACCAGACATGTACAACCTTTCAAATGAGGAGCTGACCAGAATCAAGGTTTCGGCAAAGAGTGCTGGTAATTTTGCTGCTGCCTTAACCAAAAGGTTTTTTTCCAGAATTGTATGGCATGGACAACCTGCGCTACTTTTACAACTGGAATGGAGGTGGAAAGCATAGTAAGCGTGAGCTGGACCCAGCCAGGCGAGAGATAATCAGGCAATTCACCGTTCAGATGTACCCTGAGGTTCGTCAGGAAGACATCTTCCGGACCAATGTCATTAATGCTGTAAATGAGATGCTGCGTCGACAACCAAAGAAGCAAAGACCTGCACTTGCTGCTGTCCAAATTGAAAACAACCCACCAGCAGACGACCCTCATTATCAAGAGCTAGACTTCGACGTCCTTTGAGGTGTTTAAAGCTTACAAAAAGTTTACAAACGGTCCTTTTCAGGACCACACATATCTTTCAAAAAGAAATTTGAAAATGGTGCATTAAATTAAATACAATTAACTTAGCTCTTCTCCCAGTCCATCTTCTGTCTCTTCGTCTATGCTATATTTCTACAAACTAAATAAGTCTTTTTTCTGCCCAGCACTGAATATACAATATACCCCACTAAGTTTGTTAAAGCTTATTTTCAGGCAAATCATACGACAAACATGTTTCCCCCAATTTTTATTTATTCTTATATACATAATGTTAATCGATAACTAAACGTTTATTATCAAATATGACACAAACTTATTCATGCCGAAAATAATTATCCAAAATAACAGTCTGTCCATTACACCATATAAGTATTAACTCCGTGTCTAAACCATGTCTTGTAGTGCTCAGCCTTGTATGTATACTAAATGCCATTAAATTCTATCTTATAACTCTCCTGTTCTCTAACAGTCCCACGATTTTAAAGACGGGTATGTTGACCTGGGCATTAATTAAATAAACGTGCTAACCAGCAACATACCCTAAAGAAATTGCACGACAATGAACGAAATATTTGTCACTGGACATTCAACAGCCAACTTCCAATCAGTCCAAAATGAGTAAAAAAGAATTTGTTTAGTAATTTGATCATATTTTAATGATTATAGCTTAAAAAAATAGCGGAAAATTTTAATTTAAATAACAACCAGTATTTGTTTCCATTGCTATATATGCAAAACGCACTGATTTACGGGCTTGAAAGGGTTGATGAATTAAATTCTGTACTTTATTCAAATGAAATCAAAGACGATAATCAGACGATCCAAGTGACGTCCTATCCTCCTGAAATTAATGTTTGCATAAAAGACTCATTTAAGCACATGTGAAGCTTGGTTTAAACTATCATTCAACAATTCAATGAAATACCTTTTAATTTCTATTAACCAACTTCTGTTTACCTGTTGAAATATAAACCGGACACATATTTGTTTATAACAGCAGGTGTGTGTTGGCCGACACCAGTCATGCGTTTATTAACCTTCATTGGGGTAATGATTGCCAGGCATTGTTATCTTTGTAACTTCCAAATTGGGGTACAAAAAAGGTAGCATGTTTTGAATTTATTAAACAATTTACCACTCCTTATTGGCGGATAAAATTAAAATTATTTTTGTTGAATCAAAATAAAAAGAAATGAGTTATCACATCATACATAAGTATTATGAATACGTAAGCCTTTAAACAAATACATTTTTTATTATAAATGTAGACCCAGTTAGCCTTCGTTGCTTATCTCATAAACTCACAAAAAGATCCAAATTAGGGTACAACAAAGGTAGCATGTTTCAAATTTGATAAACAATTTACAGCTCCTTATCGGAGGATGAAATTAAAATATTTTTTCGGTGAATCAGAATAAGAAGTATTTAGTAATCACATCATACACTTGCTTAATGAATAAAAAAAACTTTTAAACATTTTTTTTTTATTCTGCACGTAGACCCAGTTACACCTCGTTGCTTATTCTTATCTCATTGCACTCGCAATAAGATAGCTACATTGTATCAGCTAGCATCAGTAAAGGAATTGTCTTGTCCCGTAAATCGACTGTCATCGTGGACTTCGTGGACCAATTTGGATATTATTTAGGTAAAAAGTCGCGATCTTTTAAATGCGTCCATCACGGAAATCCGCGATCTTTAATTAATTTCCATCACGGAATCGTGTGTTTTGGTGAATCCGTGATAGCTGGACTGTATAGGACCTTATTTATTTGTATTACTGTCACAATCAAATATTCATATTGGTAAAAAAATATAACTGTGGCGGTTATAAAGAGATAACAAACCATATCTAACCGATACGCAATTAGGAATTATTTATTGACCAAATTATAAATCTAATTTTTTTTTCTTTGAAGGTAAATTGATCAACCAATAAAAAGTAACCTTTGGGATTTGAAATTCAACAATTGTTACTTCCTTATGATGATTGATGTCATGATTGTCATACTTTTATACATCATGGCAAAACCTTATCTATAAACAGGTCCACAGACTCTGAGATTTGTTTTTCATGATTATTTATTGCTTTATCGGTGAAAAAACACTACAAATGTAATATACTAAATAAATGTATATGAACCTTGCATGGTGTGAAGTAATAGGACAGAATGAATTAAATATTTTATCATTTCAGATTTCACTTCTGGAATGTAATGCCAAAAATGCACAGTTTAAAATACTACCTCGATACAAAGTTAAATCAGAAGGAGAATTTGTAAGTATTTTAGGCGAAATTATTTTCAAAACAAATGTTTGTTCATTAATGTCTGTGTGACATTTTGTTCATCTTTCTTCGATGTACAATTTTGCATGATTAACATGTAAAACCGAAACAACTATGATTGGATAATTGTTGAAGGATCATTTCTAACGCAACAGCAGCCCTCCGTCTTTACATCTAATTTTCTGTTATGTCTTTTACACATATTATTGCGTTCATACACATATCAGAATCATTTTTATCTAGAAGTAATATAAATATCTCGAAGTAATATGAAGAAAGTTAAGTGTATAAGATTGCTAAAAAATTAAAATTGAGAACAAAACTGAAAACATCGCGATACCAGGTGATAGCATAGGTAACTACATACACAAATCAGCAATAATGAATCACAAGAACATGACACGAAGACAGAAAGAATTTACAATGGCGTATGACTTTAGAAATCTATATATAGACAATGGTGGTAAAGTTGTTTTCTATTTACAGGTACAGTTGTATGACCAGGTCATGCTTGAGAGTATCAAATCTCCTGGACATTTCCTTCATGCTAGTGAACCTTACAGAATAGACCATTTTACTATTGCGTAAGTCTACACGTTCAGAGACGATGATACCTCGAATTATAATGAGTAGATAGTATTTAATGAAAACAATACTTAAACCAACCGCCCGTTAAGGCAACAAAACAGTCAAACTCACAAACAACAAACAAACGAACATACACAAACAGAGAGAAAGCAAACAAAGTATATATTATTACATACATTAATATGCACATTAATTGTTTGGTTTTCATCAATCAGATTTTTATAATATTTATCTGAATCATAATGATATATAACAATACGACATTCTCTTATACATTTTTTAATTTTCTAGTTTCGTACAAAAAAATATTGTATTGCAGACTGAGGTATTGAATGTATGGAACATGCGAATCGCTTGAGGCATATCTAATATTGGAATTTGATAGTGCGAATTGTTTTTATTGTAATACAATGTATCTGTGTTGATAGAGATGTCAACATATTTATTCTATCTCTAGTTTACACTTGTCAAGTTACAGTGACAGTAAGCAATAACATTGGTGATTCATTAATTCATACACCAAACAAATGTTTCTAATTTTAATTTATAGATCTGAACTGAACTTAGGAGTGGAACGTTCAAGTTTTACGTTAGTGGGCAGCTTCCGTGATTATCCGGATCAGTTCCAGTTTTTGAGGGTAAAGTATTTTGCGAGCGAACTGATTATAGTATGGTTTTGTAGTCTCCTTCGTCGCCGATATCCATCTGTAGACACAATGTCTGTTCACATTTACTTTAATTTAAGCTTACCAATCCATATGAAATGTTACATAATGTTTCTTAGCTGACAATTAAGACTGTATTGCTAGATTTTTTCATTTTATATACAGGTATATTGATAATGTTCTTTCCATTAACAATCCAAACTTTTCTGATTGGGTCCCATTAATATATCCTCCTTCTGAACTAGAGATTAAAGAAACCACAGAAATAGCTTCCTATGCATCATTTCTAGACATTTGCTTCGAATTTGACAACAGTGGTCAATTTAGTACCAGAATCTATGACAAACGAGACGATTTCAATTTTGTGATTATAAATTTTCCTCAATTTAGCAACAACATACCAACTTCACCCGCGTATGGAGTAAACATTTCTCAACTCATACGATATTTCAGAGCTTGCAGCTGCTACTCAGAGTTTGTAAAACGTCATCGAAGCAAACAATTAACGAGTCAGGGTTTTGTCAAACAACGTCTCGTCCTTTTTCTAAAAAATTATCCGAAAGTACTAAAACCTAATAGATAAATATTCAGTGTCTACTTAACAAATAATACAAAATTGCCCTGAGATTTTAGGTGCTAAAGGTGTTTATCACATATTTGTTACGAATACGTTGGGTTTTGCATATGTAATAACCTCAAAATTGCCCGGGGCAAAAAAGAGGTTATTGGTTATTGTGCCCTGATTCCAAATGACGTGACGTCATTGCGTCCTTAACGACAATGGCGAACAATGACGGTGCTCGTTTCATCACAGTGGAGGAAAGCTAGGAAAGCGATATGGCAGACTTTGTAGAGCAAAATGAAAAACGCTAACACATGGAAAAAACTGAAAGTGACATTAAAATTCTAAAGGAGTGGTTAAAAAGTGCCGGAGAATTACGCAATTGTGTATTGCCATATTCCAAAACAAGTGGAAATGTGACAATATAAATTTCTATGGAGTAAATGATAAAAACTGAATTTGAAAATGTGATAAAACTTTTGTGATAAAATTTTTAAGATTTTACCTGTTATATTTCATTTAAAAATTGTTATAATTGAACTTTTTTCTCTTTTCTTCAGAACTTAAATATGTGATGAATAGATTATAACATGTCTTTTCCATATTGGCCCTGGTATCATCCCTCGACCCATATCGGCCCTCGGCTAAAGCCTCGAGGCCGATATGGGAGTCTCGGGATGATACCAGGGCCAATATGGAAAAGGGCATGTTATAATCTATACATATCTTTTATTTTACTTTTAATTTAGTTTCCCCGTTATTTATCTTCATGCTATCATGTTTCTTTAGGTCGTATGCCATTTGACGTGACTCGGAATTTATACAGTAATTTATACTATATACGGTATGTTGTATCAACGACAACAACTTTTTAGTGGACGTCATTGTCAAATTTAAGATTTACTACCTACTACACCTTTTTTGCGGGCGTCTTTGTTAGATTTATTTGTATGTTTGTTTGAATTGTTTAGTCAGTTGTGATGTTCTGTTTGGTTACACAGTTTTGGCTGCTGGGTCCCAATTATTGTCGAAATTAACCTATTATGTCTGTTTGCGTTGCTGAACTAATTTTGTGAATATAACGGAACTATAAACAACTGTCATACAATTGGGAGGTTTAGCTAGCTATAAATCCAGGTCTTATGGAAAAATACCTGAACCAAGTAAGGAATATGACAGTTGTTTTTCACTTGTCCCATTGATAGATGGCGTTTGATTGAATCAGTTTTTATGGACTTCCCCTTATTGAATTTGCTTTGGAGTTCTGTATTTGTGTTGTACCTTTTTGATTGTGCGGATAGGGATCTCAGTTTGTTTTGGAAAACAGACCCAAAAGTGACCAAGACAGTATTTTCATGTCTTTTTTCATTAAAAGTATTCATTTTTCCGAATATATTATTATGCAGTGTTTCTTTGTGTGTTCCTCAACTATGCTTAACTATGTTTAAAATTTTATGTAGCTTTCGAAATCATGGACCCAATTGTAGTCAATCAAACAACATTGATAATATTTCTGATTTTTATGCGTTAACAAACTAAAACTATTGGGCTACATTTCAAATTTGTTGAGTTCACTATTCACACTGGCATTAGTTAGAAAAGTAACACAAAATTTAAACCGAGTTGCTTATTAACAAAAAAATACATAACATTGAGAATGTTTATATAGTGACAACATACTTTTAATCATTATCACATTCAAATGTTTAAATGTTGACATACATGTAGGTTGAATAAACCATCCGAAGTGAAAAGCTTCGTTGACAGTAAATACAACATAACACAATACACATAAATAAATTATGTTTTTTTTGTAGGGTGGGTCTGTCATACGATTGTTCCACAAAGAATTAGAAGCCTATGTGATAGCTCAAGGATTGTTCGGTCAAGAAGTTTCAGAAAATGGTAAAACATATCATAGTAATAACAGCAACACTTTTACAAATGAATAGAAAAATCTCCGAAAAATCTATAAATTTTCATATCAAAAGATAGTCAGTCATGTTTGTTTAACTTTACCTTTGATTAATGTGTGTTCCAGTCCGTCTTCGCAACATTGATTTCAGCACATGTATATTTTAAAAAAAAGTTCTGAATGAATTTTTAGATGTAATTGACAATTTACAAGATAACAGGAGGAGAAGAAACCAAGGGGTTAATTAAAAAACATATATAGAAGAAAACAGACAATCTGATGATGAAAACGAAAACCCCGAAAAAGACAAAAAAATTCCACAAAACACTTAAAAGAAAATTAAAGACGGAACAACACGAATACCAACGAAAACCACGAATGGCATCATAGTATTATCGCTTGAATTGATAACATTGTCGTTGATTGCACATTGTATGTTGTAATCCCGGAGCCTACTTTATACTAAATACGGCATGGGTTTAGCTCATTATTGAAGGCCGTGCGGTTTCATGTAGTTGTTCACATTGTTCATATTGTTGTCCTTTTCTCTTTTGTGAATATTTGTCTCATTGACAATCATTCTACATATCTTAATTCTTATATGGTTTAATTGAAAAGTTCAGAATATTCTGTACCAATTCCTCTTACAAATAGAAAGACCTGTCAATGTGTCTATTTATCAGAGTGACTCATTACTGAAACGATTGTGTAAATAATTGTAAGTTTCACGAGGAGTGACAGTTTGATATCGGTTAATATCAACTTTAGTTATTTTTAGGATTATATTTTGATATAATGATCGCGCCTGTGACGCAAAACTGCTGTACAGCTCACGAGACTGTATTTGCATGTATTGTGATGCATTCATATCGGGGGACACTCACACTGTCGACGCACCAGATCTGTCTCCGTTTATTGTAGCTCTCATTTATTATTATTATTATTATTATTATTATTATTAAAATTAAATAACAAGAGTTTACAATCAGCAATATAAAATTCTTATGAGCCTATTTATCTTTAGGGTGGTCTATTATTTTGATACTCTGTTACATATTATGAGCTGAGACGCGACTAAATACGAGACTTCACGTGGGATAATTCGACGTTCTGCAAATTATGAATTCCTTTATGCCGTTGCATAATGGCAAACTGAATTCCTTCATTATTTTCTCGTCTATGATCGATCGAGGTAATGACAATGCATCGCGGAAGTAAACAATCGTTGCAAAGGGGAAAAACTAGCCATTCCTGTTCAATGCTTGTTACCATTAGCTTTATGAGAATCTAATGAAAATGTCACAATTTCATTTTGCATTGCAGGATAGGTCAACCAAATTAAAACATTTGTGGCATCGATTATTCATATCTCGTTCGTTTTGGATTGATACAAGATATTTCTTCATGCGAAAAAAGCTAACAGGCCAAACCTATAAGAGAAACCTTAGTTTAAATATCCTGATATACTATAATGATAAGAATAAAATGCCAATGTAACTGTTTAAACATCTTCTAAAACTGACTTATTAAGTCAGGACATGAAATATGTACTAAAAAGACGATGTAATATTTATGAATTCCGATTTTTATAGTGTCTTTTACAGGTAAGTTATTTTAGTGCTAAATATGACTTATTGATAATCAGTTTCGAAATGCATTGCTTAATTTCTTGCCTTTACACAAACCTACAGTTGTGTAATACATATACTCAACATCGAAGATTTCTGGATAACTTCCTGAATGCAAGTTCTTCGGTAATAACTGGTAATAACTTGTTGATATTGTACCATGGCATGTGCTAATAGTATATATTTAAGATAATGAGTGATTTAGTAAACATTTGGAAACAAAACAATTTTACAAAGATGGGGATACATTCAGAGAAGTATTGTGTTGTTGAGTATTTACAAATTTAACACCTAAACAATGCTAAAATGTAAAAATGTGATGTTGACTTAGTTTAACCACCAATCACTGTTAAAAGCAAAACCTCTTTGTACTAACACATGCTATTGTAGTCAGATTCTCACAACTAACACGAATGACAGAGAGCACAAATACCAAATCATTCTGTGCACTGAATGTTTATTTTCCTCATGTATCATGTGTATGCAGGTGAATCAATCTATATTATGAAGAAAAAAAAAACAAATGACAAAAAGTTCTATTAACATTGTTCCTTTGAATATAAGTGGAATAATGGGATAAAACAATACAATACATCTTGTTAATCACGAAGAACACAAGTATAAATTAATTTGCTTGACGGATTAATAAAATAATCTGTAAAATTCATGACAATGTCATACATGTATCATTGCTTTTCATTTAGATATTTTCATCAAACAGGTGGTAAAATATAAACGAAAAACAGAAAACCCTGAGCACTAATCTGCATATGTGTGTTGAATTACAACGTTAAAAGATAATACATACATATCCATCTGTAACATTTTAACCGTCTTACTTTAAAGAAATCGTTCGTTTGAATTGCTTTACATATAGATACATGTAGTAATCATGTAGTAATCATAGGTTGGACAATTCAAAAATGTCAATAACATGATGTACAACAATAAGTGTTGCATGCGATAAAACTTTGAAAATGATATCAATAAGACATTGAAATAATGTCAAGGGAAAATACTAATGTGATCAATAGACATTTCAAAAGCTCATTTTCAATTTGGTATGTTTCGAGTATCTTTTGTAGTTCATTTCCGTATTCGTGCCTTTGATCCTTATAATCCGAAGACGATATCTCCAACATCCTCTGGAATTACCTACTGGCAGATTGAAGCCGAGTCCAGTATTCTCAATGGTATGGTTTACAATGTTAAGAATGAAACAGATCAACTTTTCTACCTTACACATTTAACTGTTTCGGTGGAGAAATATCATGTCTTACTCTCTACTGTTATAGAAACTTGATACATTTGTTTCATAATTCGATATTTACGTTTTGGCGGTTGATGACCTGACATTGATAAAACATTATATTAGTTAAGAATAATTGGATATAATTTCTCTATTGTATGTGTTGTATGTGAATGTAGTTTCACATTTCAGTGTCGTTTCTTAATGTTTATTTAGTTTATAAAAGGCCGATTTGATTTAACAATACAATGAATTCTGAAAAAAAAGAATGTCAAATCCTATAAAATTCATGATATTTTTTAACGTCAGTAATGAAAATGCTGATGAAAAACGTGACGCATATTGAAACGTACGTACAATTATGCAAATGGGTTATTGATGTATCATCTAAAATTCCCATTCCCTCAGTCAAAGTTGACTTAAGGTGCATTTGCCTATTCACATTTAGTCCCTTTTGGTTATAAATAAACTCTTCAAAGAAACCAGGATTAAAATTGTGTAGGCCAGACGCGCGTTTCGTCTACAGTAGAATAGTCAGTGACACTCGAATAAAACAAGTAGGAAGTTGAAAAAATCTCTCACAAATTCAAGTATTTATAAATCCATGGCTTCCAATTGCCTGGGTTTGACGCTTCCTGAAGAAAGTGATAAAAAAGTGGTGCTTCAGACGAACCAAATTAATAAAGTGTTATTATAATTTTCACCGATATTGAACCACTGAAACAGTTATGCATACATATGCGCAGGTATAATTTGTTTTATTAGAGTCAGTTGTTTTTTGTTTGAAACAATGCATTCGAACGAAAACAACACGATGTTCTTTTAAATCAATAAAAATAAAAATCTTTCAGAAAAATATATCTTATATCTGAATTTGTAGGTGATGTGATAAAATGGGAACAACAGATTCGTCTCCGTCATATGACAAACAGAAAATACCTATCTCTAGATAACAATTTAGATGTGTGTTTAGTCGACGACAACGGTGATCCTAGAACAGTATTCAGATTTCACTCTGTAATCAAGGTACATATAATTTAGCATGGTCTAGAGATATAATTTGAAAATTAATGTTACAAAAGTGTGTGGATATCATCGACATTCTGCTGTCGAGTGCTTTGGTATAATACAAATGGTAAATAAACATATCACGATACACTGTGGATGTATTAGGACGACGAACGTTTCCACACAATGGCTTTTATTTTCAGCAATTATCAGTTTTTTATTCATCAGTCAAATGATTGCATAATCGTTTTGTTTGTGCCTGGATTCATATTTATTAGAAAAAGAAGTCCTTCTTCGATTTACAGGTTTTAAACTCTGAAATTGTCATTTTTACCATATAAAATGAAACTAATCACTTATAAATATTATATAAAATATGTACTTGTCAAAAGAATGAAGGAAATATCTGAAGTCAAAGTATAAAGAACAGTGCCATATCAAGAAGACTTTAAAGTAGTAAGGCATGTGTTCAAACAAACAACAAACAACACAACAAATTTAATGCTAAAACATTGACAATACCAACCACAAAAACACTTTGAGATAAAAGTTGCAGAAGAAGGGTTATCAAATCTTGCTCTGAACTTTTATTTCTAAGTAACAATAAGTATTTGAAATTGAAACTTCATGCACTTGTTTTAATTCATAGGAGATGGATGAAATAAAGTTTGAAAGTTATACAAGAATAGAACATATGTTGACTGGATGTTGGTTACATGCTTTGAAAGGTATGGAAAGGCGACTAGGGTTAAATGCTCACATAATGAACAGGAAAATAAACATGACGTTAAAACAAAATAACGCATTACTCAAATAAGTGCTTTGAGTCTAGTTTTATTATTTAAACGCATGTACATCATGAAACACGTGACACTACAGTTGGATTCGGGAAATGAAAAAAAAAATAATAAAATGATTTGAAAACAGAAAAGTTTAAAGAAAAATATTAAGTTGTGTACAATTTTACTACCAGTCACAAAATATGAAAACTGACAGTTGTACTGTTGTAATTAAGGCTCAACTCATACGACAAAATACATTCTTACTTATCTCCACACTAACATTCGGAAGACAATGGGAACTCATCAAAATTTTTAATTCTTTTATTATCGTACAACGACAGCAGGTGTGATCAACAAATATTTTGTCTATGTGTATTTAGCATGATGGAAATCTAAATAGAAATTATCTTTATGGAGACCCAAAAATGTATCCAGCATTTATGTGGATGGGAGATATATAACATAAAAGATTATAAAATGATTGTGCATGGGAGATATATAACAAGAAAGATTGTAAAAATGCTAGTAAAAACTCATCAAAGATACATTGCTTATTATTTTGTACTCAAGACACGCGTTTGTATACAAACCACTCATCAGTAAATTTCAATATCAAAAGAGATCATCAGTAAATTTCAATATCAAAAGAGAGGCGGAAATTACCAAAGAGATATTCATATAATAAGTATATGACAAACTGACAAGGTCATGACAAAAAACGAAAAACCATCAACATACAAACAACAGTAACAAAACACATCATAAACACTTTAGTCTGAGCAACACGAATCACACCGAAAACCGGCAGTGATCTCAGGTCATCTGGAAGAGTAAGCAGGTCTTTCTTTACATCTGTCACCCGTGATGTTGCTCGTGCTAGTGTAAATTGGTTGATATGTCAAACTACGAATTAAATTTTTGAAAGAACGTGTTCAGTTTTATTTTTATGTGGAATTTTCCGTTTTTCTCGTGTGAAAAATCGCACTTTAGATGCGAAAGAACACTAATGTGTCCGTAGGATGGCAATCAGATATTTTTTACTGATTAATCAGATGAGTTTTACCATTTTTATTGCCTTTAAAGTTTATGGAATTTTTGTAAAGAGTCATTTCAAGGAATTTAAAAAGTACAATTTAAATTCAAAAAGTTGACTAAAACACATAAACGTTCCAAATCAGAAAATAAACAATTGCAAAATTTTATGTTTATAGATCAACCATTTGATAGGAAGAGTTTTATGGAGAAATATGGGGTTCAAAATATGGACACAGAAACAGCAAAGTTACGACATGTAATACAAATTACTAATAAGCCACTATTCAATAACATGTCTTATGGGAAAGTATGTACCGTGCGGCTCTGGTCATCAACAACAATGTTCAAAACAAAGTTTAGAAAGCAAGCGATGTAGAAATACACAGGGAGTAATATGTCTATGAATGAAGTAAAAAAATATGTGAAAACCGTTCAAGATAAAAATAAAGAGATGTGGTATGATTGCCAACGAGACAACTATCCACCAAAGTTCAAATAAAGTAGATGTAAGCAGTTATAGGCAACCGTCCGGCCTTCAACAATGAGAAAAACCCATACCGTATAGTCGGGCAACTTCGCAAGAGATAAAATCGCTACAAAAAATTAAACGATTTTAAGATATATTTTCAACATAATATAAAAATAAGGAGATTTGGTATAATTGCCAAAGAGACAAATATCCACCAGAGTTAAAATGAAGTGAATTATAGCAATTATACGGCCTTCAACAATGAGAAAACCCATACCTTATAGTCGGCTATAAAAGCCCCCGACATGAAATGTGCAAAACAATTCAAACGAGAAAACTAACGGCCTAATAAGAATGTTAGTGTTTCCTTGACGAATTGGTTTATCGCATTGTAATTACGTTGTGGGTTATTGAAAGATAATTTCAAATATATTTGTACTTAATACAAAATTCAATTACATAGTTTTCAAAATCAATTTTATTTATAGTGTACTCCCCATGAGTTTCAACTATTACATTGCATTCTAATTGAATTTCAATTACATTGTTATAAATACATTACATGTATGTTTGACGAGAATCCGTTAGTTTGATTGGCTAACAACAATCGCGCGTCATCCAAAAATAAACCTTCATATCAAAATGAAATGTTACATTCGTATTGGCACGTGGTTCCACAAAAAAGTGAACAGGTAAATAAAAGAAAAACTTGGTAAAACTTTGTGTTTCATGGTCTTAGCATAACAATGTAATAATAAGAAATGAATGCTTCTTTTTGTAATTTGATAGGATTGTAAAAGTGTTGATCGTGAACACATTTTATTCATACAAAATGTGCTTCATTCAACACTTTCACACCCCAATAAAATTACAAAAAGAAGCATTCATTTCTTAAATAAAGCTTATTTGTGTATAATTAGGTCATACGATATGTTTATTTGTAGATACTGGCCTCAAATGAAAGCATGTACGCCGATGCATACACATTACAATATGTTCCACAAAATGACGTGCAGAACTTCAACTACATTGCGGGTATAGTGCCATTCCTAACCAACTTAATCAAAGATGTAAGCATTTCATTTAGACGATCTTCAAATGATCTTTATGCAGTATTGCACTTGAATTAAATACGTTAATGTACACATATGTAGAAAGATAAAGTAAAATCGTTTTTTAACATTGGTAAACTACTTGTGCTTAAATCAAAGAAATGCCAATATCTAAGTTGTTTTAGTTACATTTAGATTGTTCACTATTTGACAATCCAATCGGTTTTATCACCGATCTCCCAGCAGTTTATTTATAAATTAGTCTCTCTTAATAAAGATTTATATGAAATGTATAAACAAATATAATGTATCAATAGTTCGAGTAAATTATAATGGTAATGCAATATCTATGTATGATTTGAATATTACATAACGCGTTTTTTATTACCTTCTTAGACTGTATCTAAGATAGCATGAATATGTATTCTAAGTGTCGATGCTAATTGTATTTTCCTTGTCGTTTTAGCTGAACGATCTACCAGCACTTTCAGCTAGAAGAACATATTCTATAGTAACAGTACGTTTGTTTCATTTACAATAGCAAATTGGATATAGTACAAAAGTACCAGAGACATAACTTCGTAAATATACGAACAATTCTGGATAAAGTGGGCATACAAAGACCTAATAATCCGTTTTACACGTATAATAATCAACAGATACAAAACTTTACGATTCAGAGATATGCAACATTTTCATTATGTAGGTTATATATCGATTTATCGCCATTTGAAAATAAGATTTATGAATACCTTAAAAAAAAGTTAGGCGAGGCTTTTAAATGTTTAGATTTATTTGTGGAGAAAAATTGTATCCCACGAATATCGTATCGCGAAAAACAGTAGAGGAATTTCAAACGATTTTAGATAATATGTAGGCAATATTTTTGAATGATCTTCAAACAAACGGGTTTATTTTGTCAGACGTTATTGTGCAGAATAGCAAAAAATCATAAGACAGCAATACATTTTGAAGTCATAAATGCGCTTTGAACACTGTAGAACTGAGAAGAAGTGAACCACATGTTGATTAAAAAAAATGCCTGATCGAAAAATTGAAATGAATAAAGTCTTACAAAATAATGCAAATGACAATAAAACAATAATTATAAAAGATTTCAAACTATTTCATTAAAGACAGAGTGTTTTTTCTTGTATTAAATGTGTAATCCGTATAAAATTGTATTCAAGTATTTTCCTAATATTAAGTAATCCTGCCTGCATGAAGCGAAATGTATAAAATTTTACTATCTGTAGGCGCTAAAGGATGTAAAAAACTTCTTGGGAGACAATGGACTCCCGGTAAAACGGAGGCAAAAGCTACTCAGGAACTTGAAGGTAATCTTTAGTCTTTATTCAATATTGCTTTTTCATACTCAATATACATAAAGAAAATTCAATTGTTATTTATATAATCACAGAAACATAACAAATAATAATTCACTTAAATAAAAAAAACCAAAGTTGACAAATGTCGATACAAATCCTGGTTAAATGTAAGCTTGAAGGAAAACTCGTCATTTTTTGTAAGGAATTCATATACACTTTGTGGTAGCTAAAATAATGATTTGTTTAAATTGCTTTTCAAATTTCAGGTTATAGATCTATTGGTAGACCTTGTAAAATGTCCACTGAGAACAGGAGAGGAACAGTTACATCGTATAAGGATATTCAAGGAGGCATATGATGTTCTCCATGCTTACATGCTTGGGAGAAGTGGGAAGAATGCTTTATATATGGCTAAATACATTGACTTCTTTCAAACACAGTTCACACAAAAGGTACAAAAATAAGAATCCGACAAGTAAACAAACAGAAACAATCAGTTATTATTATTTATATCATTAAAACATATTCAACCAATAGCAAAAATGTAAGATAAAATAGTGCGGCAATGTTTTATCCTGTCAAAAGTATTTTACATTTTCCAAGTGTATTTACAAACTGCAGTGATAGTAAATATTGGAACAGGGACATATGAAAAAAGATGCAATCTAGGATTAAAATACAAATATATAAGATAGGCTATATTATTAGAAAAGAATTACGAAGAAAACAAGAACCGGCTGTGGACAGTTTTGTAAAAAGTGAAAAATATTCCACCTCTAAATTTATTACAAATATTTGAAATAAATAAATTTCAATTTAACTATTTGAAAAAAATGCTTATTAATGTACATTTAATAATTTGTAAATTAAAGTTGATTAAATTACCTAAAGGAAAGAAATAAATAAAGGCAACAGTAGTATACCGCTGTTCGAAATTCATAAATCGATTGAAAAAAAAACAAATCCGGGTTACAAACTAAAACTGAGGGAAACACATCATATATAAGAGGAGAACTACGACACAACAGAAACACATTAAAATGTAACACACACTGAAACGAACTATAATATAACAATGGCCATTTTCCATAAACTATACAATATTCAAATTTTAACAATTGCATTATATATGTTTCATAGGGTGGTATAGGGATAAACGTTGCTCAAATGATTGTTGAACTGATGAGAGATAAGAGGAAGCTAGTTGACAGAATAACCACCACACACATCGACAGATTCATTCATCTTCTTGGTGAAACTAAGGTATGTCATCATATTATACCAAAAGATTATTGTGTCATAAAGCACAAAAACTAGAAAGAACGTATTGAAAAAACTTGCACAAGAATCGCCCGTTTATTGTTGAAATGTTTGATGTTGCAGTGGTAACATGGCATATTGATTCTAATTTTAAAACATTTCTCAGTTGAATATCATTATAGTCCTGTATTTAACACCTATCAGTCACAGTGGCACCAGAGACAATCAAAATATAAACAGACATATATATAGGTCTTTACATATGACGCCAGACACACTTTACATGGCAAATTTGGATAAATGTTATTTCTTATTTTCTAGAATTCAATATTTCTGAACCTGTTACAAGTGCTTTGTGTTTGTGATAAAGTATCTATACTCAATAACCAGACGTATATTACAGAACAATGGCTACGACAAGACATGGTAACAATAACTTATAATTATATTAATATAGAAACATATGTATTGTAACTTTACTACGAGGAGTTGCATAATAATATCAATAAATTAAACAAGAAAATGATTCGATCATAGAAAAGATATATAACACTTGGTATACGAATGATGTTTTAAGATAACACATCTTTGGTCATGATAATTTTCATCCTTCGATTCATGGTTTGTAATTTCCCCTATAATGTCTTTTTGATTTAATTATATAATATTTCCTCAAAATTCAGAGAATACATTTGAACTTTTGCAGGACATTTTGTGTTTAAAAAAAATAAACTAACCAATAAAAATATAATTCATTTAGAAAATATATCTTGCAATTAAAATGATATGTGTAAGTGTATGGTGTGAATTAAGGCAACAGTAGTTTACAGATGTTCAAATCTTGTAAATCAAACGAGAAGATACAATTCGAGATAACAAACAAAAACGGGGGAAATAGTTATCAAAGGTACCAGGCTTATAATTTGATACGCCAGACGCGCGTTTCGTCTACATATGACTCATCAGTGATGATCAGATCAAAATAGGTAGAAAGCCAAACAAGTATAAAGTTGAAGAGCATTGAGGACCCAAAATTCCAAAAAGTTGTAACACATATGGCTAAGGTAATCTATACCTGGGATAAGAAAATCCTTAGTATTTTGAAGAATTTATACTTTTGCAAACAGTAAATTTATAAAAATGACCATATAATTGATATTCATGTCAACACCGAAGTGCTGACTACTGGGCTGGTGATACCCTCGGGGACGAAACGTCCACCAGCAGTGGCAACGACCCAGTGGTGTAAATAGTTATCAAAGGTACCAGGCTTATAATTTGATACGCCAAAAATCGCATGAACTTCAAAAGTAGCGAAACTAGGTGCGTCAACCTGGTAAGCGTCTTCTGCTATTCATCCATCATGTGAATGCACTTTGAATTGTTATGCAAAGTAAATATCGTATAAAATGAAACAAGATAACATCGTGTGAAGGATTGCTCTTAAAATAACACCTTTGCGTGTCCACATTCATTGGAAAAACAAACCCTAAACAAATTTGACGGTGGGATAATGATATTTGGCGTTGACATTTTTGGGTGTAAGCTTTCCTGAATCCAGAAAAAGCGCTTCTGATGATAGATAAATATAAAGAGTAATTTTGTTTTTAATAATTATTGTCAAACTCATTGCCTTAGTACACACCTTTAGGGGAAGTCATCAAAATGCCATTTGTACGCAATCCGTCAGAACTCAATATTGTTAAACTTTTCTTAAACAAAATAGTATTACAAAAACATGCAAAAAGATCAACTTCGATATCGCTATATAGTAATTATTTCTTGATCAGAGTTTCTTATATGCTACATTTATTTATTTTATTTATCAGGGATACAAATTTCATGCAGCAAGAGGACAGAATCTGAACAGAGAACCTAATGTTATGTTCATGTCATCTGATAATAAGGAGACATGGGTTCCAATGCATCAGTTAGATGTAAGGATATTGTCTAGTTTATACTTTAAAACATGAAATTTGATTCAAATAATATACGCGCAAAGATATATATTCTTTGAGAGAAAAAAAATAGATTAGTTTAACTGTAAGAATGAAATAAAGCAAATCATCAATGCTATGTATCAATTGTAAGACTAAATTATATACCTAAATAAGTTCTGCTATTTTCGTTTTCCATCTACATTTATGTACTTCAATCTTTTTTCGTTTAACCAACGACTTAGGTTTTATTACAGTTAGATGTAATTGACAACTTTGATAAGGTATGTTTGGACATTGAGAAAAGCTTAGCTTTTCTTGTGTTCGCTTATTTTCAAATTACTAAGTTGGAGAAATAATTGTGTTTCATTTTTATTTGTTTATATGCATATTAGTATTATATTTTGTTTGTTGGTAAATATTTACCTTTAGTGGCAATTTATGTTCCTGATATATTTGCTTAGATTTTTACGATAACATTTATTTTCTTATATAATTTAATATTTATTCGAATGCTAATATGTGTAGTTATAGTTTTGCTTTTAAGTGCCAATTGATTATTATTCCCCACCTACGATAGCAGTAGTAGGGGCATTGTGTTTTTTGAAAAAGTCTGTGCATCCGTTCGTTTGTCCATCCGTGTACTATGGACACATTCTTGTTTTTAGTTCAGATGTAGAAAAAAATATTAAACAGTATAAATATGCACACCAACTTACAACACCCAAATCCTCTAAACATTAGACACAACAACAACGTACAACATATGGTACAGCAGCCGGTTGTACGAACGTGTCATTAGTCTAATGAGTCATTAAGTCTTCATTAGCCTAATGCATCATAAAGGCTTAATGAAGACTTAATGACCCATCAGGCTAATGCCACGTTGGTACAACCGGCTGACGACACACAATGTGATTGGGTTTGATTTAGGCACCACAACAGGGTGCGTCAACTGTTATACATGCATCATCCATATGCGAATTCACAGCCAGTCAAAATATCCTAATTTGGGAATTGGACACAATCGGTAAAATTAGATATCAGACGAATATACTGTTGTCTAAAGATCATACATCTAAAAATATGTTGCGCTACTATTGTTTTTCTGTTTTTTTTTAGCGTTGTCGGTTTATTTTCGACTTATGAGTTTGAATGTCCCTTTGTTATCTTTCGCCTCTCATTTGCAAGTTAGTTGTTACACTGACACATCGTATATTTCAACCCAATTCAAAACTTGTGTATTGTCGATTTCAGTCGTTCTTCCAAATAACTCTTTTAGGGCAGTTTTGGTGTAAGGAACACACAACTGTAACGAAGTCCGTAAAGTGTGAATATGCTTGACCGTAACATATTGTTTGAGATATGTAAACACCAAAAGATGAGCAGATGGCGTGTTTCTGCTGATCAATGGGATATTGATAATTGGCTAGTTAAACTTTGTTTACGAGCACCTGAATAGAGAAAAATTGAAAACTCCATCAGTGTGAGACTCGGTATGAGCAGCTTCCTTTGTAAACGGATCATTAATGTGATTCATATGTCGTATCAAACAGCAAGCGTTTTGTAAATGGACATGTCTTTGATTCGACAGAATAAACACGATTTACCAGTTAAAATGATGAATGATTGTAAAACTGGTGACATTTAAAACATTTATGTACTTTATGTTACCGAATTTAAGGTTTCTTTTTGTAGCCCTGTGAGGCTGGTGACAGTCCATACAGATTTTTACTGAATCAGTTAGACTTGCTCAAGTCACTTTGCTTCGTAAGTTTGTAATGCATCCTGTTTTGTTGTCCAAGAAACTTAAACAATTCATCACCTCTGAATGAAATAAACGAAATAGTTATACGTATAATAATAAAAATATAAATGAAACAACATTAACGGTACCAATTTTACTGCACGAGGTTTGCATTTCGACTAATAAATCTCTCTGAACATATTGGTAAAAATGATTAAAGATGAAAATGGTACTGTATTAAGATTGGTCGATTTTTTAAAAGTTTTATTATAATTATTATTGAATAGTTATGTCACAGCGTGAGGCTGATTGAAATATTGATTACCTTTTAAGACATTGTAATGCGAAATGCAAAAGCATATAATTCTGATATAGAAATAAGAAACTAAATTCCAGTTTTGTACAATCTATTGTCGAGTACAATTCGATCAACGTTATTGGAACTATTGATTCGAAATAGCTAACGGATTTGATTTGGATCGGAAGTAGAACATCTTGCCAATTAAGACGTTTAGACGGTCTAAAGATAATGAAAATTATCAATTCAGAAAGTAAGCAAAAATAAAAAAACAAACAAAATAGTTTTCAACTTATTGATTGTAAACTTTGACTGGTAAAAATATGTATAGGTTGAAAAGATGAAATCTAGACCCTTTCATTGTCCTAGATGCAAATACAGATTTCAAATATGTGTAGTTTACATCGATATTATATCCATTAAATTTGTTTTGCATTCGATATTTTCTAATCCATGTTAATGTCAATTGACCATTCAATGAAGATGACATTTGTAAAGATCATTTTAATCTTTATGTGTAAATTTTGAAGGGTCGAAATGATTTTGCAGTCCATACTATCACAAGAGAAAAACCTATATTGCAATGGGAGGATGCTTACCTGTGCTTGACATCTACACAGTTAAGCGATCAACTGCGAGCCAAGTATTGTGAAGTCATCATAGGTAAATTATTGTCAATATATATATGTTTTCATTTGTGTTTAATTTTTCAAATTAGGTTTATACTCGGTTATCAGAGAACAAACAGGTTATTCATGTAGCTCATCGCGTGGTTAGGTCTGTTACATCCTTTACTTTAACAATGTTGTGTTCCAGCGTGCCTGATGATGATTAATCCAGAATAGCGCTTCGGACGCATGAAATTAATAGAGTTATTTTCAATGTCTGAACTGTAAACACTATCACTAGCCTTTTGGATGCAATATTGATTATGCTACTATTACTTTCGCTTATTTGTCATCTTAATAATTGGCAAAAGTAATGACAGTGTTGATATACGCTCCTATTACTATTAGAAAAAATTAAAGAGAAAAACAGAAAAGAAAAAACAGAAAATGATAAGGCAGAAGTCAAAACAACACCAATCATTGAAGCCAGATATAGATATATACATGTCATCGTAAGGAAAATAAAAATGTTAAAGCACTGCACCATATACCAATGTTCTAATCGCTCAGACTATACACAGTTGTGTTTCAGCTAAACAAACAACTAGCTATATGACATCTTCGTCCAAAGACTACTTTTCTTCGACTTTCCACTCTTGATTATCCATTCGAATCTTCTGCCATCATTTTCCCTTAAAACCTGGCTTTTCATAGACTTGGGACTTTCTCTGATACCAGGCTGCAAACATGCTATGTCAATAATGCATACAGTAAAGACAATAATAAATTGCGTAAGCTACATCTTATACGTTATACAATTTTGGGTTGGGCAAACAAAATCTAGGGTAATCATACGTTTACCTAAATGTATTTCAGCTGCTTTTGTCGAAGTTGGAAGCAACTATTCAGTTCTTGATCAGCCAGAATTATGCTTTGTTTATGAATTTGTTGGAACAAAAGATGGAGAAAGAGAATCAACACAGGTTAAAACTAATACTTTTAGATAAGCTATATTACTGCATCGAAATGTTTAACCTTTCATTGCCAAACAGTTAAAACTAATTAGTTTTAGGGACTTCATGTTTCATGTTTCATCTGTTTTCTTCCTCGTGTAGTATTTATAATGTTGTTATTGTCGTCACAGTTTCATTTATGTAAAACGTGATATCAAACCTTTATAATTTTCAGAATTCTATTATCATCACAACACTTTGTTTTATTATCTTTTATTCGTGACTATATCTCAATTCGGTCAGTAATTGGTATAAGGTTACAAAACCATGCTTTCGTACCCGTTTTACGGGATTCGGTTATATGTGAGGTTTTATGCAACTGTACATTTTATGTTAATTCTACAGTTTTGAATTCTAGTATAAAAAAAAGCAGAAATGCAACGTCTCTCTGAATATTAAATTCAATATGTTTTAGGACGAACAAAGTCAGTTCAGTGTCGAGTCATGTCAGGTTTGATGCATTTTTTAAATCCTTTGTTTATAACATGCATGTTTTTCTCATTATAGAAGGTCGTACGGTTGCCTATAATTGCTTACATCCACTTCATTTGAATTTTGGTGGATAGTTGTCTCATTGGGAATCATACCACATCTCCTTATTTTTATAATGACAAAATTCATTTTATCATAGCACGCATTGACTTATATGTCAAATTTTATTATATTACATGTAAAAGTGTTTTATGATAATTTTTGCTGTTGAATATAACATGTTGCTAACATTTGTACTGTATCAATTGATTTTAAGTTAATTTTCCAAATACTGTTAATTAATGAGATATTAAAAATGCATGGCAATTTTCATATCTAACTTGTATGAATGATTTTCTTTACAATGCATTAGTCAAAAATATTATTTTAAGATGTAACAATTTTTTTTCTCTCAGGATAATCATCTATGTTATCATTGTATAAAAAAGATAAGTTTAATGAAATAAATAGTGACAGAGATGTGATTTAATTATTTTGGTACCCTCTCATTCCAATTGATCAACGACATCTTAACACGATCTTTGATTTAAGGAATGATCAAAAACTTTAAAAAAAAACAAAAAAACAATAAGAAATATTATCTACCCCAAAATAACATATGGCTACACTTCTTAAAGGATGTTATTCCAGTGTGTTTTTTTTCGCACTCCAAATTGGTTGTCTGGATCAATAGCCATAACAATGAATTAAATTATTTCAGGGTGTACGGGATTTAGCAACACTGTTTCCCGTCTTGCGAGATTTTATAGTGGACTTTATGGAAAGAAACAGTCAAATGATAGCATCGGAAGTTGGTTTGAATCAACTAATTGAACAGGTAAAAAAGAGTTATACTTCTTTATATTTAAAAACTGGTCATTAGACGTTTTAATGACAAAATTATTTCTTGTTGAAAAGTGTATATTTTTGAACTATGTATAAAACACGATTATACTGGTTCAATTAGTCCAGGTTACAATAAACTGAATTTAGTTTCATATTTCAACTTCAATGAAGCCAAAATAGAAAGACCTATTTCAAATACATAACCTGAACTTAAATCGAAGCATCTGAACAGTTTCATGTGTATTGTTATACCAATAATGTCATAGGAACTTCAATTTTAGGATGGTAGGCGTACATTTAGTTGTGTTATTGTTGCCCAACCTCGATGTTGGATTTTATCATTCATGATCCCATCTGCTGTTAATTTCATTTATTGAGTATGATTATTCTTACTTTTACGTGCGTTACGCATTCATCTGTAAAAAAAATCTTTATCTTTCCTTCAGCTTTTGTGTTTACTGAAGCACTTTGTTCGCTTTGGATATTTTGGAGATCTTACAGAGATAAACAAAATCATCAAACCTTTGATTGCCGTACTTGATGGGTCTACGGACGTACCAGTTCGTAAGGATAAACGGAAAGGTAAGTTTTATGTAATAACATTTTGAAATAAGATGTGATTTAATCATGTGTTCATTGGTGTTTGAAATCAAATATGGATAAACACGTTAAGCTGTTGAGCATTTAACTGTTATATGTGCTGCTTTATAATTCCAGCATATTTATTCAAATACACATAAAAGGTAATACAAGTAGATATCAAATTATATATATTTAGCTTAATAAAATTTACGTTTAACAGAGTTGTTTAATCGTTTGAACTTCAGGCTATTCAAGAGATGTCCAGAAACTTGTAAGTCAGTATAGGAGCAGTGGACGATATGAACCAAACACTCAAACTGAAGCTGTTGTCAATGCAAAATACCAGTATGTTTTATTTTGTGTGTCATGTGTCATGCATGGATATGGGCCAGCCTCAATATTATATTTTTATGTGCAATAGTTGAATGTATAAAAAATAAGATATATTATATATATCAAATGCATTAGATATAGATCTATTTAGTAAAATAGCATTTGCACGTCAGAATAATCAAATTATTCGTGTATTACAACAAATAAACGTGATTGTTTAAATACTGGAGGCAAAAGTTACCAACTGGAATTACAAGTTACTTTCTGTTTCTAAACTAACATAGGATGTCAAGCTCTGAATCGCCCTAAAGGTGTCTGTAAAAGTGTAGATTAGAATTAATTCTTAAGCAAAGCATTTGATCCCACTTTGTGTTTAATTTATTTTTACAATATTTTACAGAGGTCTACAAGTTCTTGATTTTCTTCTAACATTCCAAAGAAATCTACGGTTGAAGGTATACCATACTTGATACGATAAATGTGTTTATATTTCATTTACCTAAATATATAATTCTACAGTTAATCAATGATAATCAATTTCAGTGAGTTACAGCTACACACTTTACTAATATAATAATATTCATATTCTTAAACAACATTCATATTTTGACTTTTTGGTTGAATATGGTTTGTCTACTTCTTCCAGAAATCAAATATAACATGTATAAGATTGTAAGTCACTCCGTTAGATAGTTTAACTAGAAAGTCAACATTTTGCATAGGTTGCAGGTGACCGATAGAGTGCTTTTGAGCCATTGATTTTATCTTTTTAAGTCGATTTCACTCTCAAAATATCAATTTTTATTATAAATTTGGCACGTTATCTTTACTATCCATAGTTTAAATGCAAGTATATAATTATTTCATTGCGGATAAAACGTAAACAAAATACATAATTTAAACAAACATAATAAATCAAACAAAAACTTCTTTACCCTCAATAGTTAACTATTCGATATTTACAGACAATGGTTGAAAAGTTCAAGATGATCGAGTTTGAACAAAAACGCAAGATATCACTTAAAATGACAGCACTTATGTATGACAATTACAATCCTAGGGACACGAACAAGTAGGTGAATTATGCTTAGTGCAAGTTTAAATCTGCCTATTGAGACATTTTTATGTTTTTGGTATTAATGGTTTCGCACAATCTGTTTTGTGCCATTTTTGGACAAATATAACTATCTTACAGTACAAGAGAGACAGAAGAAACAAAACGAATATTCAAACTCATAATTCGAAAACAAACTGAAAATGCCTTAGCAAAAACAACCCCGATAAACGATCTCAGGTGCTTCGGAAGGGTAAGCAATGCTGCATGTATTGTTCAATTTGATTTTATTGAAATGAAATAAGGTAATTAAATATGAAGTTCAAAAGGAGCATCAACATACAAATTAGAAAATTAAAAAACGACAGTGTTAATTTATATATTTTGTTAGTTTTAACATGAATTTATTAACGTGTTGTTTTAATTTTTTACTGCACTTGGTCGATACCTTTGCTGGTGGACAATCAGTCCCCGAGGGTATCATCAGCTCAGTATCAGTACTTCGGTACTGACATGATTTATAATAATCTTTTCTAAAATTGTCCGTCTATAAATTTTGAAATAAAGCAACTAAGGTTTCAACTCCCTCAGGCAAAGTTGCCTTAGATTGATTTGGCTATTTTTAGGCCCTTTTGGTCATATAGCTCTTCAACAGTTTCGGTTCTTGCTTTCAAATATTCGGCTTTGAGCGTTCCGTATAAAGGTAAATCCAGAAAAGCGCTTTGGACGCATGAAATTATTATCGTGTTGTTTTAAAAATACCAAAACAATATGTTTTTCTTCCAGGAAAGCGTTAAGACAACAACAGACTATATTGAACGAGTTACGGGAAATGTTTCATGCATCTGATATATTTGAAAAGGACCATTATACAAAGATTTTGATGGTGAGATTTTATTATCTATACTACAGTATATCTTGCATATTAAAGTATTGTGATGCTGTTGAAATGACAGGTTTTCATGAATTAAATATCTGTATGCTGGGTGTGAGGTTTCTGTGTTTGCACGATACTATTTTTTTTATATTTATTTGATTTAAATTTGTTAACACTTCTATAAATGTTGCAGAATTTTAAATATCCTTGAATATTTGTGTTGGGAATCAATTTGCTAATCCCATTATGTTTGAAACGTATTGTATTATTTTTTCGATTTGTGTTACTTTTCATAAATGCTGTATATTTGCAGGATATTGCAGAGTACAAATATGACAAAATGGTTTCAAAATCTCTGGACATTTTGAACAAGGCATATTCTTCCCAAAGCGACATGTTCCAACTGGCAGAAAAGGCGCAGGTAAAAGGCTATTTCTAGTTATAAACATTATTATTTAATCTGTTTTTGCTGATGTATTAAGCCCTTGTCTAACTCCATGTATAATTAGCATGGTAGAATACATGCTAGCGTTTAATATTCTCTGTATTTACATAAATGTGGCATTCAGTATCATTTCCACTTTGAAGATGATTTTTATCACTTTGAGCTATGTAAAAGAGAGGCGAAATATACCAAAGGAACATTCAAACTCATAAGTCGAAAGTAAACTGACAAAACCATGGCAAAAAAAGAAAGAGAACAAAATACAAACAACTCTACACAAAACACAACATAGAAAACTAAAGACTGAGCAACAGGAACCCCACCAAAAACCGGGGGGATCTCAGGTGCTCTAATAGGGTAAGCAGATTCTGCTCCACATGTGGCACCCATCGTGTTGCTCATGTAAGTACAAACCCGGTGACAGTCTTAATTCGGTAGGTCAATTACGAGGAAGATATGACGGGATTGTGGTTACGAGTATAGAGGATAAAAATTGAACGATAGAATGATAATGTAACAAATAGCTGTCCATATTAATTGTTCCTTTTGAAACTGTGTTAAAACAAAGGTATAATGTTATTTTTTGAATAGCTGTTGATGACATCAGAATCAATAAAAGTTCACATTGATGTACAACGAGAGTTACCCGTCCTCCAAAGATTTGTCCGACAGAAAGCAAATGATTATCAAGTGAAAGTAATGGGAGATATTCTAGACGAATTCATCAGGTATTATTTACTAGTATTTCAAATTATGAAATATATTTAGCATAGTTAAAGGTTAATTGTCATTTGTTTTCTCTTCCATATTTCTGATTTTCAAACAATATACATGAGTGTCATATTCGAAATTTATCTTATCTGCAGCTGCTGTTTAAGTGCCATTAGCTACGATTTTGACAGCATAAGTTGAAAAAAATTAAGTTTATTTCCCTCACATTTACATCGAATAAATATTAGTCAAATTTTTTTAATCAGAACATGAAAATCGTCTTAGTACTATTGCACGTGCAGACCATGTCTGTCGGTATATTTATGTTGGGGTCACATGTCCATAATCTTATCAAGATACCAGGGATAAATTTGTACGTCATACACGCGTTTTGTCTACAAAAGATTCATCCGTGACGCTCCAATAAAAACAGTGAAAAAGGTAAAAAAAACAGTACGAATTGAAGAGCATTGAGGACCCAAAATTCCGAAAGGTTATGCCAAATAAAATTTTGCCAAATACAGCTAAGGTAACCATCCTTAGTATTATGATTATGACCATATCAATGATAATTGATATCAACACAAAGGTGATGACTATTTGGCTGGGGTTACCCTCGGGTAGGAAACGTCCATCAGGATTTTGAGGGTTAATTATATTGTGTGCAGTCCCATAACAAAATGTGCATGCTATGGTGTTAATTTAAAATGAATCGAGGCATTGTCTATTGTTTCCGATTCTGTAATCTAATATAAGTGCAGGAAGAGAAAAGGAGAGGCGATGGATACCACACTGTACCAAACTGTACCGATCCTATCAAATGAAGTAGCTGAATGCTTTAATAACTTGCTAATTTTGAACTGTATGGGCTCATTTCATCATGTCCCAATGGTACATGTTCAGGTCTCGATCCTGTATTTTGCAACAAAGTAAACGAAGTAAACGCGATTAAAGAAATTGGATAGAGGTGGTTACAAAAACATTTCAATAGTTATATGCGACACACTTGCTTTATATGCCAATTAAATTGTCAAGAATGCAATTGTGTACATGAAGAACATTATATCTGTATATACTTTTCACAGCAAAACAACTTCAGAGACATTTGGTTTTATCTTTTAGGTTGTGCACTTTACAGAAGGGATGCGATGAACCTCATTTTGTAAACCAGAAAATTTTGCTCAGTCATGGCAAGTTATCCCCTATTTAGTTAAACATGAACAATAAAACTCCATCAATAACGGAATGCTTGAAAAAGAAACCTTTTTGGAATAATATTTGAAGGAAAATATTGCATTAATTACATGTAATGTTAAAATAAATGACGATCGCAGTTTTAAATATGACAAAAACATATTGAAAAATATAAGAAACGTTAATGTTTAGAAGTAATATTTAACAACAATTTCGAGATGAAAATCAGCAATCAACAACGTTTTTTAAATATTGATTGTTTCTTTGCATTGTATTTTACAACAACGTTAAAGCATATTAATCCTTACCTGACATATGCTTAAACTGTTTGTAGGTGTTTTGGATACTATCAGGGAGATATTGAGACAAGTAATCGACCCACAGTTGGAGGTATGCTTATCTAATGTACAAATTTTACAAATAGAAGTTTATTCATTTACAAAATGCATATTTTGTGTCACGCATCTGTATTTTATAACAATTTTCATCTTTACTGCTATACAATACCTAGTTTGTTTAAATATTGTTTATTCAAGTCTCATAAATGGAAGCAATAGTGTTTAAAGTAAGACGATACTATGACTGTTTCATTACGACTTCTTTAGTAGCAAATGTTGTCATTTTGAAAGGTGCATTATTTTTTTGCATTTTTGCGTTTCCATTAGATATATACAGCCGTCAGTTTGTTTCAACCTTTCTTATATCAAGTGTTCAAAGGTAAAGCAATGTGGGTTTCAGTAAATGTTCGGTGTCGTTCAAACTATAAAACACATTTTTCTGTTGACCTCTTTTATATTTAGATATCTAAATCAGTCATTTCATACTTAGGACTAATGCGCGCGATAGACAACTAGTAACGCATTTGATATATATATTTTGATTTTGAAATATAAACTTATAGAACTAATTCATTGTAGGAACATTACCATGGAATGAAATCAATATTTTCAAAATCCCTAAAGCTTGTTCAGGTTTTAGCAAAAGACAATAAGGAAGTTCAGGAAAGTCTATTTTACCATCTTGATACTTTACTTGAAGTCAGCATAGTGCCTTCGGATTTAGCATTGGCATTGAAAGAGGTATAAACATACAAGTTTAATATTTCAAATCGAAAGTGCAGACGATAAAAACGAAAATAACACTTTAAAAATTGCAGGCGTCAGAAGTGCTGTTCTGGATTTACCTTCATCGGGAACGCTTACAGTGATGTATAAGAACCGAAACAATTGAAAAGCTGTATGACCAGAGAGTACTTAAAATAATATCCAAATACATCTATTAAAGGTCTACTTTGCCTGAGGGAGTTAAAACTTTAGTTTCTTGAAAATTTCTAAATTCAAAAAAGGTTTGCTATAAATCATATCAGTGCCGAAGTACTGACTTCTGTGCTGATTATACCCTCGGAGACTGATAGTTGACCAGGCCAGCAGAGGTATCGACCCAGTGCTGTAAAAATGAAAACAAGACTTTATAAATTTCAAGCTTCCGAAGCGCTATATGATAAAAGACAAATCATTGCTCATTAATCTGCTTCAAATAACATGAAGGTCAATTGGGAATCTACCTTGGAAAATGTAGAGACAGTTTTTGCATAATTGTACTTATAATAGTAAATATACAAAGTGGAGTCTTCAAAAATAAAAAAAGAAGTGGTACACAAATAACCAAGAACAACTTAAACATAAGTTGAAAGTTGAAATCTTCAATTTTTACAATGCGACATCTAATATTTTGGAGTGATTCAAAAACACTTCGACCGAACCTTTATCTATCACAGTAATTGACATGATGTATGAATTGGAAAAAAGTCTTACAAAAATACAATGTTGAGATATAACGATACATTTACAGTAATTATGGCTAGCACATTATAGAAGTGTAAACAAAGGTATGATGTAATAACAATGCACCATAATTACATTCTAAATAAGTATATCAATATTTCTCTTCTTCACTTTTTCATCTTCCAGCTTTTTGTTGCAAATCAAACAACGTGCCTTAAAATAACAGAAACCCATATCAAAAAGCTTGTTTTACTGACATGTGAACACACAAGTGAAGCACCAGAATTCGTTGATTTATTGTACACGTTGGTAAAAGTTGAAGGACTTGATTTGAATATCAAACGAAACCAATCATTGGTGATGAAATATATTATGCAGAACTATCAAACAGCTGCGTATATTTTGGAAAAACCACAAAATGAAAGGTTAGTACTGGAGTTTTAAAGATTATTTTAAATTGAAGATAAAGGAATGTGTAGAAGACTTTAATGAGACTGCAATACAATAACACCTACAACAGAAAAAAGAGATCAGAGCAACTATTGCAAAATTATACGGTTAATTCAATACTTTATGTATTAATAAGGATTGACAAGAGCCCAAGGGCTACTAGTAGTTCTCAACATAGACAAACCATAAAAATATGACAAATACAATACATGTTTCTAAACAACACTACGGTGAGACACCTACATCCAGTCACACATTCATGTACGCTCACACACTCAACCAATCAAACCCTTTCATTTTTGCAGTTTAAATTTTTCATAGTTATTGTGATATGCAAAAAAGGTAAAGGCTTATCAAATTTCAAAACAAAATATAAATATATTGCAATGAGTTTTATTGAAAATAAGTATAATTTGACATTCAAATTAATACAATTAATTTAATATTGTTATTCATCTTTGGCAGAGAGCAGATACTCACAAATACACATTCCGAGAAAGGACATCTTGCCTATTATGTGCGATTTGTGGATTTGCTTGCTGTCTGTGCTCAGGTAAAACTATGATTGAGTCAGCGTCTGTAATATATAGGGGAAATACACAATACATAAAATGGGTAATATTTGTGACGTCTTTACATCAGTTCGATATTTTTTGATTGATACTTTAGACTGGGAGAACATGCTTTATTTTTTAAGTTGTATTTGGCTTTTAACTAGCTTCAGTAATTTCGAATACTCTTATATCGGTATATGATTCTATTGTTTTTATGTTTGTTGTGCTTCCTGTGGTTCGTGCCGATCTATTGAGTCAAGGATACCACATCTCCACATTTTTATATTAGAAATAAAAACAGTGGTCAGCCAAACCGTTCAAAAACTTAACAAAATCCTCCGATATGATAACAAACAAAGTCAGAAATTTGCTTTGAACTTTTGCTACATACTGAACGAAAGTAACTGGAGGAATAATACTGATATGTATGTATATTTTAGACCTTTTTTACCTTCGAGTACAGTTAGGTTGCTGACTTTTTCAGCTTTCCACAGGGTCTCGAAATTTTGTTAATCTTGGAATTAATAAGCAAATCATTTGCTCTAATTGGTATACCATCTGCTTGGGCCAAATCCTGAGAGAACCTGAAACACGTTCCAAGTTTTTAGAATCCAATTTAACCGCTGTTTGATGTTTCCTTTGTGCAAGTCCCACGTGAAAAAGACAAAAAAAGAATACATTTAACCGTAACAACTATATCATTATGGGCTATAACACATCAATACTCCTAAATATTATATTATGCTTTTACGAACATATTCTAATCAAAGAACTTGACATACTTTGTAAATGTTGCACCCTTTACATAATCTACCAAGATATTTTCAACATTTACAAGTCTCTTTGTGTACAATTAACTCTCCTTAACTCTAAGATCGCACAAGCATATCTCTCGATTTTGGTAATGTTAGAACAAGTCAATCTTTAATAGATTTGTACATGGTGTTCTGTTTGTTATATACCAATATAAGGATAAGAATTTCAAACATTGAATGATTTTTTTTCTACTTCTTACTTCTAGGGAGAAAACAAGTTTATAGAGTCACTATGCCAAACAATGTTACCTATTGAGGAACTACTATGGGTGATGAATCATGGTTCAATAGACAATATTGTCAAAACACCATTTGTAAAGTTTATGCACGAAGTATACTTACAATTTGTTGGAGACATTATAGAAAGTGGAGCAGCAGATTTGCAACACAATAAGTTAGTGATATAAATATAAGATTGATAGAATGTATTTCTGTATTTCGTGATATTCATTTTCTGAAGGCATATAACAATTTATTTTATTTTAGTTTTTCAACTTAATATCTTGGGATTTTTTTTGCAATAATATACGTCTATCGGGATTTTTTACTTTTGTAATTCACTATTAAATGTATTTTTTGTCAAATTTAGATCTATATTTCATACTTTTCCTGAAGTGTAGTCTGTGAAATGTTTTGTAGAGACATGTGGGAATTCCTAGACGAAATTACACGATCAATTGGAAGAGCTGTAGCTGGACTAGACACCCATAAAAACTCAATTGGCGCCTTCCTAAAAACTAAACCGGACAGAAGGTATATGATCAAGTAACTCAAACAAGATGTTGCTGTGTTATTTTACGAAATAGATAAATATTCTTTAAAAGAAAACACTATTTATTATCTTCATTTCAAAGTGGTCAAATTGAACTTTTATGGACAAGTATCATTTATAATGGTTTTTTGTAAATGTATTGAAGTTAGGATAATGTATGTTTTATTTGAAGGATCGACACCGCTACTTGTTTACATATTCATTGTAGTTTTGATGAATAGAAAAACTTCAAAACATTAAGTCGTTTAAAATAAAGAGAACAATATGAAAATAAAATAAGTAAATTCTATGACTATTTTGTTTTAATAATTTGTAATTTTCAGCTTAATGTCAAATGAAACATCAGCTGTGAATAGTTTAAAAGACAGTGTATACTTTTCATTGGAAGCCGTTTTACCCTTTCTGAAGGTAACTGGTTTCATCTTATCTTTTATTGAGTACATACTCTTTTTAGACAATCATAAACAAGAACCTCGACGGCCGATTGGCCTATGTAATTTGTCTACAGCGGTCATTAGAATGTAAAATCTGAGATCGTGAATTCGAATCTCGCTAGTAGTGAGATGTGTTTCACTCCGATCTTAATTGACAAGGATTGCCAGTTGTCTTGCTGGAACGTCGGTGGTTTTATGTAGGCACTCGGGCTTCCCGAACAATAAAAACTGACCACCACGTTACAACCAGGATTTTAAAACAACAACAAAAAACAAACAAAGAATCAACAAATTAAACTTTTAAATAAATATATTTATAGGCGGGACAGTAACAAAATCAAATTGACATTATTTAAGTCGTATTTGTGCAGAAGAACGATGTATACCGTATGGTCAGTTTCATCGCATTTTGCCAAATATATTACCGTATATTGTGGGTTTTTTTCGTGGCGATTTGATGACAAGATGAACAGGTTAAATTTTCATTTCAAGGGGAAAATACACGCGAAAAAATAACTGTATCGTATTGTTACAGATGTACATGTAAGCAACATAAACTTGATTAACTGACAGATAATCCATTGCAAATAAACATGAGTAATACAAACTAAAATACACATAATTCGGAGAACTTTCTTGAAGCGTAAATTATGTTCATTGCTGTATGCTAGAAATTAAAGGTTTTGATCTTTTGTGTAAAGGTAAAACAAATACAAATATGCGTGTAAATGTGATTTCTTTTCATTTTTTTTTACATTATATGCAAAATGTTCGGGTTATGACACCAATCAATAGATCGTCGTTAATTAACATCTTAAAACATGTCACTAGTACTGGTTATAACTATTTCTACTCTAACCTCTTTGTAAAGAGAGCAACTTGAATAAAACTGAATCTAGTTTGAAAGGCACTTTCGTTAATGCTATATGTTTCCATATTTTAATTTATGTGAAATATTCATTAATTTGCTATATTTTCAGACATATTTTACACGAGTATACACGCCAGAGAAAGAAATTTATCCTGACGAAATAGAAACTGCTAACGGAATCGCCCTCGCTGTAGCTGTAAGTCACATATTTTTTTATTTGCTTGCACATAATCATACTTGAACCTTTGTTTCTGAATTGTTGTACTTGTTAAGGTAATTATAATAATTGTTATGTTGAGATTTTGCTTTCAAAATCTAGTTAACCAATTTTAAGCCCAAACAAACATATAACATGTATAAGCAGACCAGCTCTTAAAGAAAACAATAATAAAGTGATGTGTAAAATACAATAAAAAAACACTGAAATGTCTAAAAAGCTACGGAATTACTGTATTAACTCGAAGCCAAATGTTTTAGCAGTGCTGAATTTACCACAAGACAATAATTTAAAATTGGTAGTTTAAGTCGATAATTGTCTCATTTGCAATCGTACTACATCTCCTCAGTTTTAAAATTAACTCTTTATAAGTCTTAACTTGAAAAATACTGAGATCAAACAGGCCATTTGAGACTAAAATACGTTTACTAGAGAAAGTTATATTTATTATACATGAAGCAACTGACTCCCAAAGGAGATAATATGTGTTCAGTTGTGCTTACGTGTGCTGTCAAAATGACATCTCTGTATATCAATACAGTCTAAATGATTTGGTATCATATCTATTTGGATCGAAACAGCATAGAAGGTAGTCCGAGACTGCACTGACGTCAAAACATTTTGTAAAATTTTGCTGTCGTACAAAGTCATCAAAGATACCAAGCATATAATTTGTTACTCCTGACGTGTGTTTCTCCTACAAAAGACTCACCAATGGCACTCGAATCAAATCAGATGGACGACCAAATTGAATGTGCCATTGAACAGCATTAAAAATCGGAAAAGTTGTGTCAAATAATGCTAAGACCATCTGTGCCGTTGGACAGAACAAACACAGTGTTTCAAAGAATTCAAAATTTGTAAACAGAAAACTTACAGAATTTGACTGAATCATTTATATATTTTATGTCAGTTGAATACAGGGCTGGTGATATTACCGAGGATGAAAAATCTACCATCAGTTGCAACGATCCAGTGGTTGTAAAAAAATCTCATCCAAGATACTTACTCCAATATGTGAGAATGCCGTCATTTTCTTTCCAAGATCTAAAATGGTTAAATGTGTGTTGGTTATTAGTAGTTGTTTTGTTTTTCACTATATTATTGTAGTTAAATTAAAAGTAGAAAGGTAATATAAAAAGCTTTTAGTCAACTGATTAATACAAATAATGAAAATCTTATGGTGCAAAATTGCAAATACTCTAAGTATTGACACGGACATGCAATACTCTTACTAACTTCAACACTTTTGTTGTTAAACAGCAGTTTTAATTATATGATAACTTGATTTTTAACAAATTCTTTTCATCAAGGGTTATTACATTTGTATATACTAGTTAAATAGATATTAAAATTTGGTTTCGAGCGTCACTGATAAGTCTTTTTTGGACGAAACGCGCGTTTGGCGTTCAAAATGTCAATCCTGGTATCTATGAGTTTACTTACAACCACTGGGTCGATACCACTGTTGGTTGGGTTTTCTCCCCGAGGGTATCACCAGCCTAGTAGTCAGCACTTCTGTGTTAACATGAATTATCATTGATATGTTAATAATTATAAATAACTGTTTACAAAACTATAAATTTTTCGAAATACTAGGGATTTTCGACCCCATGAATAGATTATCTTAGCTGTATTTGGCAAAACGTTTAAGAATTTTGGGTCCTCAATGCTCTTCAACTTCATACTTTGTTTGGCCTTTTTACCTTTTCTGATTCAAGCATCACTGGTGTGTCTTTTTGAGACGAAACGCGCGTCTGGAGTACAATTCTGGTATCTATGATGAGTTTATTTGATAGGTGTTTTCTCGACTGTGCTCGGACAGTACTCACACGCCTCGCGTTTCCTTCTAATTTTCAAAACGGATAATAGCACGTCAGCAAAATAATAACATAATGCAACCAACTTCAAATCTTTATAACATTTTGTCTTGGATACATGATTTAATTATTAGTAGTTTCTGGCTTTGAACTAGCTTTTAAAACTGCGAGTACTCTTTTATCGATACTTTGTGTCCTAAGCGTTTTTTTATTGAAGAGTGAATAACAATTTTAGGGATTATGTGAAGCTGTAGGACCATATTTATCGGACCCACTTCATATGAAGACTGCAGTAACAACTTTGACCGTTCTTATTCCACTTTCAACTGAACCAAAATCTGTACGTATACATGACAATACTCTTAAATTTAGATAGAAATGCATTAAAGCATAATAAATAAAGGTGAATGGCTTGTTCTTAAGAATCTTAGGAATATATGACTTGTACTATTAATACATAATATAATGATTCGATCATATAAATTTTGTAGTAGATGTACCTAAGTGAGGTAACAGATGTATAATTGTACAATATCAGTATCGTTTTATTTCTATCGAGTTGACTATTATGTGCAATCAATTCATATGAATTAAAGGAGATATTGGATATCAATGAGACTGAATGGGCAACAAAAACAAGCTTTAAGATATGACATAAGACAACAACTGACGAGGTATCTTTATTTTATCTGTTTTACTACATTTAAATACTGCCTATTCATTTTTCTGATTTATTCATCTATAATATTGCATATTTAATTTATTGCTACTCATGATTTTGCTTCATTAATTTTACGTATGTAGAAGAATTGGTATTTGTGGTCGAAAATGACCAGGTTCATGGAGCTTTGTGGTATTGTGATTTATGACATTATTATTATATCTTACGTCCTATTAAAACTTTGTTTTCCATAAATGAAATAAAAAACATTTTGTTTTGCTCTATTACAGTTATTTGATAAAATTCTAGACGAAGTTGCTATAAATCTTAATGTTACTGACACCAGGAGTGATATTAAAAAGGTAAGGTAGCAGATATTAAAGGCTTTGTATGATGATTAAAATTTTATTTTATGTCACTATTTATTACTGTTCATGTCTTGCTATGTCCGGGCATCTATTGCTATACTCTTAGGCGTTTTATATATTTTCGTTATCCAAAGTTTTGATCTTGAAAGTCCTTGATAAAAATTATGCTAGAACAAAATGTGTCGTTAACCGGGATGTTAGGAGTTTTGTTTCAATTTATAACTAAAATTTAGTTTGTGTATGATCGATTTACAAATGTAGTATTTGTTATTTCTTTTCCTTTTTATTCACTACATTGGGGTCACTCATATCAGTATGATCATTAGTGTATTTAACTTATATTTTAAAGTTTTCATACGTGTGGTATAAGGATGAAAAGGGAGGCTTAGTAATATATACAGTTACTTCAAAATTTCAATGTCTTCATTACTCTGTTTTTACTGCTTTTGAAAACCATTTAACCACTCAAGTCTTTATTTTTATTTTGCAGGGAAATATGGTTTACTATACAAATGAACTTCAGTTGAACACCAAATTCCACACATTTGCCAGAAATTGCAATATAATCAACAAAGGACAGAATACAGTAAAGCAGCAAACAGGCTACAAGTCTAAAAGAGGTACTATATAACCATCTTATAACGTAATGTCACACTATTTTGTAGTTTGTTGGTATCAAGAAACTGATTTAACAGAAAAATCAAAATATATTCTGTATCTATAATTGGAAATGAGAATGAGTTTATTCAAAGAATCAATGTTAACTCTGGTGTCTTGCGTAAAAAAATCTTTACACCACTACTTTATGGGTCTATAGGTGGCCTTTTGCAAGGCAAATTGTTCGGCACTATTCAAAATACATTTTACCGAGGCAGCCACAATCTTCCCACCATGTCTTTCCAGTCCATTGACTGTTCAGATCTTTGCCTATTGTATATATTGTTGTTTATTAGTTCGTCCTGAATGAATATGCATGTAATATTTTTCAAAGGACATTAAGCATACAACAATCAGGAAATAATAAGAAACGGAAGAAAATCATATGTATTTGATAAGAAATCTGATTCCCTTTTTTCTGTGATTTTTTTATATTCCAATATCCCGTCCTACAACACATCTTAAATGCGCAAAAATGACATAGAATTTGAAGCTGATTGCTGAACCTTTACAATAGTTTTCTTAGTTTTTTTAAACAATTGTCTTTCAGTATGCATTTTGAAATTGAAAACAAAATATTTTTAGAATATACTGAACTTGGATTAAGCAACGAAATGCCACTCGGCGAAGAATTTCAGAGTCTAGTGAAATGTTTTGTTAACAGCAGAGAAAAGAAACCCGCTAAAAAGTATGCAATGGTTGGAAAGCTACTGCAGCAATTAGAGTATGTAATATTATCCATGACAATGTCTTTACTCAGAGTTATAGCTTTTTTTTTACTATTAGTTACATGATCGGTTTCAATAGTTCATCAAAATAGTTAAGTCATGAATATCCCTTTCTCATATACTTATTACTCCTGTATTAAGACATGTATTTGAGGAAGCACAGACGACATAGACTATAGAAATAAAATCGAGACAAGACAAGCAACAAATAAAAAAAGACATAACACATAAAACTAACAACTGAGCAACACAAGACCATGTGCTCAGGTGCTCCTTGTTGGGTCGGGATTTAACAGTTCGTAAAAGGAAATATGTTAATTGCTGTATGAAATATATTCTTAAGAACAGCTGTCAACATGATTGTGAAAGACTTCATGATATTACTATTATAGAGGTAAATTCTTTTATGAACTGATTTATTCCATTTATTCTTTTATGGTAACTGATAAACCTTTTCATAATGTTTGAAGACATATTGTATAGATACCTGTTTATTACATGTATTTTGTAACTTCGATAGCATTTCTTGATATGATATAATTCATTATTGTTTTACTTGTATTTGTGTTGTTGATGGCTATGATATTAATATTTTAGCTTTAAATTCTCTTTTCGAACACATTTGTTGCATGTTATTGTATATACTTTTTATCGATTATGGTCTCTATTAGATTTCAAAATATCTCTAGATTCAAGACATAGTGAGTGTTTAACATATCGTACAACAACCTTTTTATTATTGAAGACTTTATGTTAAACTCTAGATGTCATTTTTGCGTCGTTGGGATGCTTCCTCCTTGACGAATATCCCATATCTCTTTTTAAATGGTAAGAAAAAATAACATGAATAGACAAAGAGATACTTAATATCGGGAATTTTCTTTTAGAATATCGGCAGACCTTTTCAAAAACTCGGCTGGTGCCGCTGCAGAATATGATGATCTGGATATTAAATGTCTACAAATTTTACGTGCCTGCATCCATAACGAAGAGAGAAAGTTACCAGAAGATATGGATTCTAGAGCTGGAGAATCGTCTGTTAAAAGGTATAATACACTAAAGTATTAAAAACGGTAAGTAAATGGTTATTTTTTATAGGAATTTATTGAATTTTTGTAATATCAGTTTTGCAGTGGTCCACGAAAACTGTTTACCAGAGAACCTAATTTTTTTAAGCATTTTTTTAATTATATAAATGCAGAGTTAAAACAAAATTTACCTTTTATTCCTAGAATATAGTTCATGTTGTTGCCAGACCAATGTTAAGTGGGAACATTGTTCATGTAATAAAAACACTACATGGGTATCAAAACACATCTTGGACTAAGATATAGCAGAAAACAACCGGGTTATATGCAAATTTTGAGAGATGAAAAGAATTCATTTGTTAGACTTTTCATTTACGAATAGTTTAGCCGTATTTGGCACATTATTTCGAAATATTTGGTTTTAATGCTCTTCAACTTCGTATTTGATATGGCCCTCCAACTGTTTTATTTCGCACGCCACCTATTAGTCGTATCTTTTACTGCAACATTCTCTCTCCTCATGATTGCAATATGTCAACGTTCCGCCCTGTTTAAAAACTACCTGGCGTACACATAATGATCAGACAATGCTCTCTTACCCTAGAAGTTTAGGTGAAATTTCTGAAAACAATAATGACAAATCCAATCTCTTGTGTACAAACCGTCCTGACCTCCTTTTTTTGTTTTGGTTCTGACCTTAACTGGTGGCAATTGAAGTATGTGCACTGCAATTGCAAAGTATTATAAAAAGTTTATTTTTACCTATTTGACATCCTAGTTGTCATTTCAAATCGGCTCGGAGTTTAGTATTTTTGTGATTTTACTTTTTATTTGTTTGTTTTTGACGATCGCCTTCCGACTGTCTAATAATAATTAAAATGTGGAAATGCGCAAAGGCGCAAATCTGCATTCAGACATAATAATGTTATTTCAAAATTATTTCAAATTCCAGTTGATTCAATCTGCGTGAAAATTGTGAACATATAATTGAACCAGATTGGAAGATAATTTGAAAACAATTTAGAAAGATTTTTCTTGTTTGGGTAAACAGAATTTTTATAAATTTTCTAGGCAACTTGAACATGTCAAAGATGTACAGAATGCTATCAATAATCATGATTTTGTGAGGAAAGTATTACCACATATAGCACGCAGAAATGATGCACTTGTGAGAGAGGTCCTTGCTATGATTTCAGGAATGTTATTTAACGCAAACAGACAGGTGCAGGTAAAAATTTAAACAGAAAGGCCATCTCCTTTGACAACAAAATCCCAGTTTACAGTATAGAGAATTTTTTTGTAATTTCATAAGACTGTTCATGTAAGTTGTGCGTTATATACAAGATAACAAACACTAAAAAACAAAAGTTCAAATTGTAATTAGAATTCTTTTAATATAAGACAATTTTACTATTTAAAATTACGAAGATATGGTATTATTGCTAATGAGACTACGATCCACCAGAGACCTAATGACGTAGAAGTTAAAAACTATCTGTCATCGTATTGCCTTTAACAATGAGCAAAACCCAAACCGCATAGCAAGGTATAAAAGGCACCGAAATGATAAATGTAACCAATCAAACGAGAAAACTAACGGCCTGATTTAGTAGAAACAAAGTATATATACAGCAACAAACGACAACTACTGAATTACTTATATGTATGCTTTTGACTTGGACGAATTACAGACGCCTGATATGTATGCTTTTGACTTGGGACGAATTACAGACGCCTGATATGTATGCTTTTGACTTGGGACGAATTACAGACGCCTGGTATCTATGTTTTTGACTTGGGACGATTTACAGACGCCTGATATGTATGCTTTTGACTCGGGACGATTTACAGACGTCTGATATGTATGCTTTTGACTTGGGACGATTTACAGACGCCTGATATTTATGCTTTTGACTTGGGACGAATTACAGACGCCTGTGAGAGGTTTAGCCAGCTATAAAACCAGGTTTAATCAACCATGTTCTACATAAGGAAATGCCTGAATCAAGTCAGGAATATGACAGTTGTTTTCTATTCGATTGATGTGTTTGAGCTTTTGATGTTGCCATTTGATAAGGGACCTTCTGTTTTGAATTTTCCTTGGAGTTTGGTACTTTTTGCTATTTCATTTCCACTTTAAGATGTTTAAATGTAGAGGGCAGAGTTTGACAAGAAAGTATATTCGATATATGTACATGAGAAAAAAAATGTAAGAAAATAACAGGTCTAAAAAAGCAGTTTTCCGATGCCGATTGGTTGGCGATGATCTAAAATAATCATATCTCAAACAAAAGATGAAGACTGCATCTACAGTCGACTTAAGTTAGGGTATTCTTCGATATCCGATACAATTAAATGTATTAGGTATATATGCGGGGGAAGTCAATAAAGAAATAAATTGGGTATAAAAGTCAAAATAATTCTTTTATTCATTTTCCGACAAGTCTTTATCATAATAAATAGGGACAGACCGGGGCTTTATTTGGGCCTTTGAAGGAAACTGTACTGAATATTGCATAAGAGTTTAAACCTAAACCATGCCTAAAACTGAAGTACTAGAATGTAGATCAGTTCGATAACTACTAGACATGAATTCATGAAAAAAAAACATGTATAGTTTAAGCTTTAATATGGCTAAACAAACAATTGTATATGCTTTTTGTTTTTTTTTCAAACGTTTATCATATTTTAGAAATGCATGTTGGAATATTTCCTATCAACAAGAGAAGAGTTGTTTTTCATGGCTCTCAGAGAACGTATGGTAATTGCATCAAACTCCATCAAAGAGAAGTAAGTCAAAATTTATACTGTTTTTATGTTAAACCGTTAGTCCTTAGTCTTAATTTAACAAATCATTAGTCTGTAGGATATTGATGACGTTTTTAAATATCATTTTGACAAATGCTTTTTCTATTTGAACTTTATGCATTAGATAAAAAAATAAAAAATAAAAAAATTCCCAAAATTGAATAATTTTGAAATCTATTCATTTATACTAAGATATAAGCAACAACCTAGCCTAGCCCCCTAAAAAATCATACTAAGTAATTTGTACAAAGATGTTAATTTTAGTAGAATATTTCGGATATTTTCTATCAACTATGTTTTATTTTGAAATTAATGACGTCAGCGTAACGCCTTATATGACATTTATGTACTCTAGAATGACAAGATTATATCAGCCTATTAATTTCTAAATTACATTTGCTAAATGATTGAAGATTTTTTGTACTTTCGCAATTACATTCTTATCACACTTTTTCATTTGCATGTTAAAAATGCGTCTAGTGCATATTCCTATTTCTATTTAGCATTAATGTTTATGGATTGGAATAATCTTTTAGGAAAGTTCTATACAAGACTCAAGTTAATTTTGTGATATATTTCGGTCATTTTAAGAAGAGTTAGAAGAAATAAAGGAAAATAATAAAAAGATCATGAGTCCAAAAAAAACTGAAAACACCATGAAGAAAAACAACGAAATTTGATCTCGCATAACATAATTTAAGATATATACAGACTCTGGATTAAAACATATATTCATGTGTATGGGGAAATCTATAAAAAAGTAAAACTTTTGGTTTTAAATTTTCCCATTTTGTTGATGACTTTTCTTTAATTTTTCACCATTTTTTTTTCTTCAAACCACTGTTTAACTGATCTCAAAATATACTGATGTGGGCAATGAAATCAGTTTCATACGTTTTGTTTTACAATTAAAGATGCCAAATGGTCGAATATTTTTGTCTTTATTTAGACGATCACTTCTTGCTCAGCATCAAGCTAAAGTCTCTCAGGCAAAGCATTCTGATGATCAGGAATGTACTTCAGCAGTTGGACTGAAAATTTTACAGGTAATTTAATGCAAAAAAGAAGAAGAAAAAAAGATAATATGATGAATTAAATATATTGTACTACTGCGTGTAACATTTAACATGTTAATTTACTGACATTTTATGAAAACTGAGTTAACCAGACCAGAATTTACAACAATATGTACATGACTTATGTTTTGTGATAAATTATATTCTCTTTTCTTTATTCTATAGTGTTTGTGGTTTACAATCTAGTCTTTATGGAATACAAGTTTACATTATCTTGAAAATACAGCTAGTAAATACTTAGCACAACACTGTGGTTTTTCATTTATTAAATACTTGTACATGTTGTATGATAAAATAAGATAAAACTACATGTGATACAATAATGTATATAAGGTTATTTCCTATTGCACTGTTGTAGACCATTCAGACTTATGATATACAGCTAAAAACAGAAAGACTACATGGATGGGTAAGACATATTTCTTTCATGACTTTATATACACTCTTGCCATTTGAAAGAAAAAAGTTTTGAACCAAAGTTAAGGAGGAAAAGATATGAAGTTTTAGGTAATTCAATCTGGTCTCCCTAATAAAATTGAGAATGGAAATGGGGAATGTGTCAAAGAGACAACAACCCGACCATAGAACAGACAACAGCAGAAGGTCACCAACAGGTCTTCAATGCAGCGAGAAATTCCCGCTAAGAATGTATCATAAGAATGTTTTATCATTATCAAATATCTTTATATGGAGCTTTTAAAACATATTTTGACATTTATCAAACATATTTTTTGTCTTTCACCAAAAGAGATTTTCATAATTGTTTATATAATTGTGCAAACTTTTTCGCTCTTTTTTTATACAAACTGATGCATATTTATATATAATTAGAATAGACACAAAAATGACGAAATTAACTACAATATTATATATCATATCATTCTTTCTTGAGACAAATCCATGATATATGAATGAAATTTTATAGACCTTAGTTGGACACGCTTCACCGCCTCCATCAAGGAAAAAGAAAGGGTTGTTTGCAGGAAAGGATAAGATACTAAATGGAGATTTTTACCAGAATGGTAAACAAAAGGATTTGGCTGTGTTTGCCCTGCCTCTAGAGGTAATCAAATGTTAACCTTTGTTCTAAACAGTTTTCTGTAAAAAAAAGAGAGAAGTATAAATCATTATCAATGAAAATATCATTAGCTCTTTGCATTTAAATGTTTAAATATTGTTTGTACTTGTCAAATGTCGTGACCAGTCTTCAAATATTAAAATATTTTCGACCATAAGGAGATCAGAATGTGATATCAAAAGAAATATAAAATGAATCAGAATATGGGATTTGTTATTCGAGTTTTTTTTTCAGAATTAAAATTATTTCTAGTTGATGGTTTGCACTTCGAATTCATTCTTATGTAAAACATTTGACCACCTCAAGTCGTGAACTTTTTTATGAAACAATTATTCTATTCATACTATTGACATATTATCATTAACTTTAATGGGTAAGCATCTGGTATGTTCCTTTTACTGTGGCAAGGCAATAGAAAATAAATGAATTGTTCCTTCATTATCCCCAAAGGAAGCTGATGAAGATGAGGAAGAAAAAAGCGCTCTATCTGATATGATGCAGTACAACGATGATGGTTATATAGAACTTGTTGTAGAACTTTTAGCAAGGATATGCGATGGACAAAATGCCGACTTACAGGTACACATACGTGAAAATAACTTTAAAAAAATTTCGTTCGTCTGCATCGCTGACGCGCACTAAACATTTTCAATTCAGGGTTGTGTAAATACATAAAAAACGATAGAAGATATATGCATAGGACCAAAACAGAGCTCAAAATAATAGCCAGATTCATCAAAGGTCAACTTTTCCTGAGGAAGTTGAAACCTAAGTTTATTTATTAATTTCTTAAATTATGAACGGATAATTTTATAATAGTATATTATAAATCATGTAAGTACCGCATAGACCACTGAGCTGATGATACTGAGCTGATGATACTCACGAGGACTGACAGTCCACCATCATTAGTATCCACCCAGTTATAGTAATATAGCACTGAAGCTTAACATATTGTTGAAATATCTTTGTTTGTTTCAAAGAAAAGGGTAATGTAACATTCTTTAAATGTGTTGCTTTTTTGGCAAAAATATTCATCATGATTAAAATCCCTCTTTTCCTATATATGATATACTTTAGTTTGTATGTGATATTTTGTTTTCAGAATTATCTTAGAGAGCAACCAGACAACGTGAAATCATTCAACATTGTAGCTGAGACAACACAGTTCTTAAATGTAGTTTATTCCGCCATTACAAAAAGAACCATTGGTCTGGCTGTCGGAGTTTTCTCGAGCTTAAATGAATTTTGTGCGGTATGTATTCTTATTTTTCTTTCTTTAGAAACATTCAACTTCTAGCATGTCTTTTACTCTCACTGTTGCATTTATATATCGATTTAGGAGACTCACTGTAAAGTTACTCATTATGTTACAGGGTAACCAAGAAAATAGGGTTGTCTTGTACGGAAACAAAATCGTTGACTACATAAATTTCATCCTTCGATCTGGCGATGTTGGCGATTGTCCACCTGAGAAGGTAAATCTGAAATTTACGCATAAATGAGATTATATAAAAAAGGAAATTTAAAGTGATAAAGAAAGCAAAATGTGGATCCATTTATGTTCTTGGGTACCAATTTTCGTGGATTGGCGGAAACTGGTATTTTCGTGGATATTTGATTTTGTGGTTTTGCCAAAGTCTGCATACCAGCTTGTAGAACATTTGAATTCGTTGTTCACCTGTATCCACGAAAATTGGTATCCAACGAATAATATTGAATCTACAGTAGTTATTTAAAATTCGTTTATATTGATAAAGAACAAAGTGTCAATTGGAGTAAGTGTCGACTTTGTTAGACACAAGGCATCTGTCTTATCAAATATATATTTAAAATGTTATTTATCGACCTACCATATACCATTTGTAGTAAAATGGTATTCTTTTATACTGAAGGAACTAAAAACAATTACTGCTGAATTAAATATTGAAAGGTCTCTTCAAATCCATTATGAGCTTAAATACAAGATCGTTTCACTGTCCAACCTTTAATTTCATCATTTAAATCCTTGAGCCTGAAAGGGAATGAGAAGTCAATCCATACATGGGTTTGTATCTTTTTAGTTAAAAAGAAGCCAATCTTTAGATGTTGAAGTTTGTAATATTTTTTTTTGGGGGGAGCGGGGGGGGGGGGGGGGGGGGGGAGTAAATAGTTATTTGGCAATTGCATAGTAATTATATTTTTCCTAGACAGCTATAAATATTAACCACCTTATTTAGTTCGCACATTAGTTTTTAATTATAATTCAATTAGGTACTCGAGTTGCGACAGATAATAGGAGGAGTTGTGTTGTCAATGATTGAAGAAAATGGTCCAGAAAAGACTGCAGTCGCAACAGTATGTTTCTAACTTATATTTAAATGTATTTATTATAGTTATATAATGATTTATTTGTATAAATTTTCATTTCTATGAACATATTTGTACTATTCTACGTTATGACAACAGACCTTTTTGCCAATACTGAGACACATAGAATTACATAGAGATTACATAGAAAAGATAAAATGGTTGAAAACTCCTCATTGTTATTGCCTTAGACTGTTAGAGAAAGCTATCTAATCAAAATGTTTTAAAAGGTCTATCGTTAAATTTTCTTTTTTATTATACTTCATGTCAAAATGCCAGATTTTGAATGGTTAATACGAGGGAGACAATTTACTCTATCCCATGTCAAATACTCTATTACCCTCCACGGAGACGCTTGCTCAAGTGTGCGCTTTAATAGATACGGATGATTGTTATGTACAAGACGACATAGTTAATGAATTTGAATTTGAATTAAAAACAGAACATTCAGTATAATAAATTAAAAAACACATATCTGAGAGGGTGATAGAGCAGATTGTTACCCCTCGAAAAGACATTGTCAACCTTGGCTTCGCCTCAATTGACAATGTTTTCGCGGGGTAACAATCTGCTCTATCACCATCTCAGCTATGTGTTATTTATATATTGTCACATTGAATGACCGTATTTGGTATTATCTTTAAATATATTCATGTAAACGATATTTTATGTTTGACATATATCATTGAAGTACTAAAATAACAAATTGCTTTGAAATTCATTGAAATTGGCGATACAACACTTGCATTAAGAAATTGTATACTCTTAAATCTGCAGTAATATATTGATAAATTGGTGATTGATTGATCATCAATTAAATTGTTCAAGTAAAATAAAAACTGGTTCTATTGTAGGAAGTCAAAGATACCATTGATAAACAAGCTTTGCTACAGTGTATGACAAACTGTTATAAGATGTGTCAGTCAGACCAAATACATTTAGAAGATATTGTAAAGACAGAAAACGTGGAAGTGGATACAGTACTAGTAGGTTCAGTGAAAAATCTTGCATCTGTTGGTGGAGGCCTATTGAACCGGATAATGGTAAAAGATTTTAACTGTATAAAACTTATGTTCATAGTTTAGAGTACATATAGCAACCCATTAAAGATAAAAGGAATTTAAAGCTTATAAGTTAGTGCCTTAGACGCTAGTCTCGTCTTTATAAGACTTTAAAGTGGCACTCGAAACAGAAGAGTTGAAACACCAAATCAAATTTAAAATATACTCAAAATCCACATATTCTACAAAAACGTAATCATTTCAAAAAAAAAAATATATGTTGAAGTAAATCTTATGAAAAATCAACAAAGATTTTTCAACTTGCTGTAAAAGTGGTCATTGTTCTAAGGAAGCCTCTCTGACGAAAAACAATTACTAATGGTACTATCCCCAAGATACACATTTGTATCCGGATTTCGTTACCATAAATTACGTAAAACTTTTACTAAATTCTTTCATAGATACAAAGATTTGATTAGTAAATTTGGCTGTACCTGTAGAAAACTGATTAAAAACGGTATTTCACATCCTAAATGTTACGTTAATATTGTACTTAAAGCACTATGTGATCCGTGTAAACTCGTCGAACCTTTAAACAAACTTATTAGTAAAGGTTATCTTACCAATGTTGTAATTAGTTCTTTGAATATAGTTTACATTGGCACTAATATCGATTTTGTCATCAGCAAATTAAAACATAACTAAATTTGTATTCTTTTCAAACGGGATGTATAAAGACACATCCACGTTCATTTTGATCTATAAAGAGGTTAACTCCTAACTAGCCTACTGCCTGTCGATACATTTATTTTTGGCATTGCACAAGTCATGTCTTCTTTGACTGTCCATGACGTTAAAATACTAAATCCCTGGGATGTGTTTTAGTTGATTTTAGTCTCTGATGCATGATTTTTTTTATTATTGATGGTTTTTGGCTTTTAACTAGCTGTCAGTAACTGCGAGTACTCTCAAATCGTACTTTCTTGTTTATGATCTGTTGATACTGATTGTAATGTTTTTTTGTTATTTAATGTTATTCAGGGTTATATCTGGTCTATACACTAGCTTTGATAAGTGTTTGGTATTACTATAAATTTTCACTTCTTCGTACTATAAACATCAAAATTATTCATTTTGTAAAAATATTTCCTTTCTCTATCTGAACTGTACACGTATACCTAACAACAAAATTATTTTTATTTACCTGTGTTTAAAGTAATTGCAAATGGCTGATATTTTTGTTCAGGTATATTGTTTTTCTTAAATTGTTTAACATTTCACAGCGGTATAACATGTTACTTTAATTATTCTTCCCTTAGTTTATTTATTTTGTATTTGCATTGTATCATAGGTCAAATTTATTTGTTCAGTGTATGTTCACCGGTGTTAATATGTCTTTTGATTGAGTTAAGCCATTTCAATTGATATTTGATAGTGTGTTTTTCTATGTTATGATGTTACACTATTGTTTCAAATAAGGGTGAAGGTATGGTACCATTAAAACGTTTAAACCCGCTGCAATTGTTTGCACCTGTCCTAAGTCAGGAATCTGATGTTCATTAGTTGTCGTTTGTTGATGTGGTTCTTAAGTGTTTCTCGTTTCTCGTTTTTTATATAGATTAGAACGTTGGTTTTCCCGTTTGAATGATTTTACACTCGTAATTTTTGGGGCCCTTTATAGCTTGCTGTTCGGTGTGAGCCAAGGCTCCGTGTTGAAGACCGTACTTTGACCTATAATGGTTTACTTTTATAAATTTTGACTTGGATGGAGGATTGTCTCATTGGCACTCATACCACATCTTCTTGTATATATATATATACTAAATATTATCGTTATTTTGTGTATTTTTCTACTACTTGCTTGAGATAGAAAATTATCGTCAGAAACCAAGGGCGCACGTGACGTTGCCAATGTAAACATCAAAGATGTCATGAGCAAAATAGCCATAAACAGATTATCAATGGTCTTTCAAACTATAGGATGTCTCCCAGCAACATCTCATTTCAGGGCTGTCGCCCTTCGATGAGATCGTAGCTAAGAAACACCCTCTCGTTTGAAAAACCATTGATAATCTATAAGACTAAGTCGTTAAATGCTTTCAGTGGTTATATTCAAGACTTCATTCAAAATATTGCAATGATAACTTGTTGACTACTCTTAAAGTATTCTGTCAGAACACCTTGCACTCGATAGAATTAAAATGTTGTTCGTGTAATCATAATGGTCGAACAAAGTTTAAATATGAACCTTTTTGTTATGATAAGGGAAGTAAAAGTCTGTTATTTAATGGACACGAGTAGTTATTTTCATATAATTCAAATGTATTTTTTCATGTAGGGAAACAAAAATGTTCAAGAGCGGGACAGTGTTACAGAAACCGGATATCTGTTTTACCTTATATGGGCAAGGATGTTGGATATAGATCCAAATTTGCACAAAAGTAAGTATTTCGCTCCAAAGAGAGGGGGACAAATTAATGAGACAGCCTACACCAAAACAACATATTCGAAATGCGAAGGACATTCTTAGATGTATCTGCAAAATTGTTTTGGAAGTAATAAGTTATATATATCTACACATGAAATATTAGTGCATCATTTGATAAAAAGTTCCGATGGAAATTGAAATTAGTTTGACGCTTTTATTACACAATAGATTTAACCTGAAAGGGCGTATCTTAAGTTGATATGGACAGCTACGAATTATTATAGAACGGTAAACCTTGGGCGGTTAATAATGCTTTTTAATGTGTAAAACCGACTTAATATCCCAACATATTTTTTAAATCTAATTAATGAAAGTAAGTAGTGAATTTTGTTTACTTCAGTATGACTAAAATATCCTTAGATTACGAGGGCATATAGTAAAGGTAAAAATTCCAGGAGAAATTAATCTTTTGAAATTAGATTTTTTTTTAATTTTCGTTTTATAAAATAAGTAATGTCTTTCAATTTTGACATGGAATTTTCATATGTGCCATATTTTTATGCAAATTTTCGAACTCTATTTAAAATACCTCCGGTAAGAAATAAGGAGGTATACTGGTTTATCCCTGTCCATTCCATGGAACTTTCGCATTTTTCTGTGGAAGTACGAATCAGAGCTTTCTGAAATTTAGTAGAAATCATCCTGTAAGCAAGCTATGCCGTGTAATGCATTTTTACGTTTATAGTTCAATTTGCTGTCTGTTTACCGAATTCTTAACAACAAATGAGCTGCGTTGGATAGAAATCAACCTTATACAAATGAATATCAATACATCTGTCAACATATTTCGGGTTGAAAAAATCTCTACGGAAAGTCTAAAACTGTTTGAAAATTGAGTTGTTATAAGAACCCTACAAAACAGACCAAAATTTATCTTTTTATTCGTATTTTAACGTTTCAACATGTACATGCATACATTCATAAGTGCACTTGCATATATTGTCGATTTCTATCGGACGCAGCTCAAATTATACCTTCCCAAAATTTGGTGTCAAGCTTCATGTGAGCATGCCATACCGTGTCATGCATTTTTACATCTATCGCTTATTAACTTCCTTTACAAAATATTTATAGCAGGGGTATCATAAGTGAGCAATAGTTCACAGTTCAATTTGTCATTATCATGGTAGATACCACTCGATTATGGGAATAACATATGTGAAAAGGAAAAGTTATATAAATCGATGTACATTTCACGAACTGTCATGATTTGTAGTATGAATACATAGGGTAAACTTTGAAAATAGTTCTTACGTCTTTGAATCATCAAATGTATATATTCATAGTTAAACTGTCATATATTTATTTCAGAAGTAACAATTAGTGCTACACACCAGAAAGCAATTGATTTTTATAAGAAGAGCTGTCTATCCATTGAAATCGTCAAGGAAGATGTCTTACAAAAAGTCAACTTTAGAGTGGAAAATAAAGTAAGTTTCTGGAAATATAAAAAGAAATACGTATATTTAGCTTGACTTCTATTTTTCTTTTGTCCCTGCTGTTGCCTGCTCTTTCCCGATTAAGGAGTTAGGATTTTTCTTCTTTGGTATCTTCCTATTTTCTACATTCTTATCTTATTTTTTGTCTTCCTTATAGTATATATTGAATTGATTATTTTACACCTACTTCGAATAAAATAAGTTCATATCTGTTTCGTCGACAACTTAAAAGATGGTGGATTCATAGAAACATGTTCAAATTTGATTATATTTTCTTAATCGATTGATGAGATTTGTAGTTGTCAAAAGCTGAAAACAAATTCTCTAGTTTGATTTTTGATTTTCATTTCATTTCATTTCCATTATTGTGAAGTAAATTTATAAAAAAATGGACAGCCCTTCTTAAAAAATAGAATTGACCGATGAATGAATAGTCGATTACATTTTGTATTTCCTAAAATTTTACCTATAGAATCCAGCTTCCGTAAGATTTGAAAATATGTTTACATATGCTATTCAGAAGAACTCAAAAATACAATCATCGGATTGAAACAATACAAAAATAGGCTTTATCCGCGGAATATGTTGATTAATCCAATGTTTTTCTTTTGTGCTTTGTGAACTGTTCCTGTTATTGTGGGGTTATAACGTTTCCTGGTTTTGTTGGTGTTTTAGAGTCTACTGCGAGATGAAGTAAAAGAAAATCTAAAGTGGAATGTTGACAGGACTTCTCCTAGTAACAAAATTCGGGATTTGATGGGATGGACATCAGACATATTAAAAGACATAAGCTATCAACGAAAAATATTGCAGAAACCAATATCAAAGATGTTTACAAAATTGTGGTAAGGTTTTATATGTTGTACATACATTGTGTCGTAAAGTAAACTAAAACATACTAGTGGTTGTGTGTGAAATATGTCTCGAAATTGTGGTTCCAATGTTCATGTAGACAAACTTACTTTTGCATGTGTATTTGTTTCTAATTTTCAAGATACGAGTGGAAAATTGAACGAACTTCTAACAAGAGACTATTATTTGGTTCTGCAATTCATTTAGGTTGATATGGAACTTTGGTGCATTTTTCCTGAGTGTTGCAATCAACTTGCTGATGCTGTATTCATGGAATGCAAAAGCTTCATTGGAAGATTACCAAAAGATAAATGGCAATCAGACAATAGACTGGAATGGAATAGCAGAGTATGTATGCCTTTACATTATATCTAGGTTCATATATTGATGGAAGCTGGCAAAAAGTCTTAACACCAAAGGGAGGTTTGGTACGCCTACAAACTAGGTTAAGTAAACCTTATTCTTTGAAAAATTTATTTACCAAGACAGGACTGTGTCATTCGGTCTTTAACTCTAAAATGTGAAGAAGATAAACTGAAATCGAAATAACAGCATAGAAAAACTGGGTTCCGATGCCGTAAAACCTCTAATAAGTAACGTTTGAATGTAATTCCACAAAAGTAGTCATTGATTATATGAAGTACCCGTATTTTATACAATTTGATGAATCACTGACAAACGAATACTATCACACAAAATAATGCAGTTTTCATTTATATACTAGTATGTATTTACCAAATGATGCCATTACATTGCAATTGATATCCTGCATCCATTATGTTTTACCATGACACAAGGTTGAATTGCTCGCTTGAATTATTAAAAGCTACTATTTTGGAGTAGCTATTATTTAACTTAGAAGCACCCAATTGAGGTAACGTCATCATGTTTGTATCTTAACTTTAAATGGTTTTATTTTAAAATGAAAATAAAAACAACAAAACAACAACAAAACAGTACACTTGAACAGTCTGACATGGAATTAACCAAAAGAAAAAGCATCGAGAGAATACATGTTTTATTTGATGAAATGATCTATAGTTTTGCCTAATGAAAACTTAATTTGTATATACTTTTACTTGTAGTCCAGATCCAATAATTAAAGGGTTGAATAGGCAGCTGTACGATGTGATAATGTATGCGTTTATGGGAACTCATAATTTCTTTTCTTTGATGGTGCTAATTAGTTATGTGTTGCTCAATCATCCAAGATTTCCTACGCTGGCAGAAATCTCTGCGCCATTTAAGTATGTTAAAGTATCAAGCTCATTGTTAGAGCATATCAAGCAAATACTACAATATAAATATGTATAGCCCATAGGATTACAAGACTTTAATCGAATTAATAATGTGACAATAAATTTTAAAACACACCATTCGTACTTAACAACACAAAATTTCACCGATGTACATGAATTATTCACAATATAATACAATGATTATGAGTGTTAAATTTGTTTTGCTATGCCCTCAATGATTCCGCGGGCAAGGAAAACCAGCCAAAAAGTGGTTACTCGGTCAAACTAATTATTTAAAATGTAGTTAAATGGTGTGTTAAATGTAGTAGAAAATGTCGGGAAAAAATTACACTTTCCAGATTAGGTGCGTCCGAAGCGCTTTACGTTATTTAAGTGGTGAAAAGGACACATATTGGATAGTAAGTACATTTATCAGAGACTTGAATCATTGGTTTGATAAAAGGACAAAGATTACAGATTTGAGGCTGGACATATATTTTACTCTTATATATATATATATATATATATATGTATAAATGTATTGTATGTACGTGTATAAATTACCATTATATTTAGTATGAATAGTATTGATGAGTGCTGTTATTACAGTAATTACCCATTATACTACACCCAGGAAATTAAAATTATATATTTTGTCTCTGTACCTTTATCGGATATTATTTTGTCCGCTCTTCTATTACTGAACCTTATCGTTTTTTTTCATATTCTCAATTGATAGCTTTTATACAAATACGAATACAATATTTGATTTTAGTTTAAAATAGTATTCCTACACCTTTTAATGCTATATATTAAATTTGTGTAAATATTCTTAAAATGTCACCCTAAATCTGCTTACCCTTCCGGAGCACCTGAGATCACCCCAGTTTTTGGTGGGGTTCGTGTTGCTCAGTCTTTGGTTTTCTATGTTGTATTTTGTGTACTGTTGTGCATATGTCTATTTCTTTTTTAGCCATTGCGTTGTCAGTTTATTTTAGACTTGTGAGTTTGAATGTTCGTTTGGTATCCTTCGCCTCTTTAAAATATCCAATAAACAAATAGTGACATCTTCAATATTTAGGATATTGATATACAAACTTCTTGCACATGTTTTTTTAGCAATCATGTGATAAGAAATTAATAAAATTGATTTATCTCTCAAATATAGGTGCTTCTCTCGCAAAGAGGAAAACACTGAAGATGGAGCACATGACAATGATTCAGGTGCATCTCGTTTGGATGCAAAAGTGCTGAGTTTTACAACATTTTATTTTCTTGTAAGCAATACATTTTTATAAAATAGTTTTATAAATTTTTGAATTGAATTGTAATCTTGTAATCAGTATGTGAATGAATAATCTCTGGTACATACCAGTAGACTGAACAAGACTTGTAATTGTAATGATGTCCAGCTTTTCTGATATCAATGATTAACGTTCAGGGACAGTGCATGTATATGCAGAACAAGAGAAAACTTTCATTCAAATAAAGTTGATTCTACTTAGCGAATCATTTTGGGATAGAGGGTAGGAAGGAAAATATAAACTGATGCCAGAAGAAGGAAATCGGCAGGGCAGATTTTTATGCCCCCGCCATAGGCGACGGGGGCATTAAGTGTTACTCTTGACAGTCCGTCTTTCCATCTTTTCGTCTTTCCGTGCGTCCATCCCATTTTCGTTGCAAAGCTTGAGCGAGGCATTCGTGTCCTCAGACACATTCTTCTTTTATTCTTTTCAGTTTGAGACAGCTATTTATATTTCTGTAAAATGCTTACAAGTATATATATGCACAAGGGATAAACATTATTTTCAGCAAAGATTTATTCATCTTATAGTGTTTTTAGAACAGAACTAACTCACAAATAAGTCTACCGATATTCTACATTTTACAGCTGTTCATTTATGCGATTAGACTTCTTTTTTCTGTTGGTTGCATTTTTATTTCATGCATTAATACATATATGCATTAAGGTTACTTGCGGTTTAATTCATTCTTTTTTGTAAATACCCTCCAAGACGATATTTAATCAAATACTCTATGAACTACTTATGCTAGAACAAATGGAAAGTTTTTGTGTTGTTTTTCAGTTGTTCCTGACTTTATCAGTATTAGGAACAGTGTTTCATGGATATTTTTTTGCATTCCATTTATTGAACATTGTGGTCAACAATCAACTTCTGAGTGGAGTCATCAAATCTGTTACCCAGAATGGTATGAGGGTGTTTAAGACTGTAAAATTGTTTCAGTTATGCTATTTGATAAATATTATTCGAGGTTAAATTGTTTATTGCTTTATTTGATACATTTATTAGATTTGATTATACTACCCATTTTTCCTTGGTATGCATATATTGCAATAGTAAAGTGTCTTCATCTTAACCGACAGAATCCAGACAAATAGTAAATAAATGTGCAGGCCTCTTTTTATCTATTGAAATCGAAAATCAAAAGTATGTCAAATATAATAAAAACCATCTTTCACTTGTTTATTTGACATTTGTCTATCAATCATAACTGTTCATATTTTTTTATTCTGTCTTACATTTTTGCATTAGTGCTTCAAACTTCTTGCATTTACTGCAAACTGCAAAAACTGACTGCATAAGCTCTACATTTAGATCTCGTTATTGAACATTTAGATATGATCCAAGGCTTTACATGAAAAGAAATTTTGCCAAAAGATGCTGATGTGTGTAACATATTTTGAATTGGCAAGACTTTAGCTTAAATCAATTTTGTTCAAAAACTATGAGTAATATGTCAATTTAAGGTGAAATATGTCAGTTTTAAAACTGAAATCACAAGTGTCTTTTCTAATATTATGTGTAGGTTAAATCAAACTATCTGAATACCAATACAATGAAGTGTTGAATCATTTTATTATTTTGGCAATTTCAGGGATAAGCAATACTTCTTATGATACCTGATCCTTTCACTATAACAACCACAGTTAAGCCATTAATTTTTAAGTTTGTAAATATTAGAAAACAAACTATCAAGATGTAAGCAAAAACAGTCTATGGAGATTAAGACTTTCGATAGGTCCCTTTACTTTGAATGCGGTTTGAGAGTACTCAACCCTTTGTTATTCCCCGGTAAAGTCAAACCAAAACTTGAAAAGTAGTATCTACGCTAGACACGTGGAATTTATGAGTTAGATAAACGCCTAATCGGAACGGAGTCATAATAATGAGTCATATTTGGGCAACATGTTTTCCTGTTGACTATGACGGAGTGAACTAGCACGTTAAATATCAGCTTGTCGGTATAGTACAAAGCTGGTTTCTTATTCGTATTCAAATCATATAAACATGCTCCTCTCCTTTGTTGTATATAACATTTGTCCTTGGACATAAAACACCAAAGATTCATGCATGCAACCATACTTTTTCAATATCCATCAGTAGAAACTTATAAATAAAATCTGAAGAGGAGTCGATACTGCTTTACCTTGTATTGTCATAATTGGGTTTTTACCGTAATTTTCAAGACTTTTATTTAGAAAACGGAAGGCAAATACCTAAACGATTTGTAGTTTCATTATCCCGTTAACAGTTATATTCCTTTAATTGAATTGACTCTGTTAATTCGATGATACTTGAATTGAAATAACAAAAAAAACTTTAAAAATTATTTTATTTTTGTTTTGCAGGATGGTCCTTGCTGTGGGTAGCTATCCTGGGATTAATTGTGATATACATATATGCACTGATTGGATTTTCTCTATTGAGATCGTTTTTTGATCCCTCAAATTATTTATATTGTCATACTCTATGGCAATGTACTATTACAGTTGTGAGATATGGTCTCATAGGTGACATGTTTGATGTAAGTATTATAATATATAGCATCCGTTGTCCTATTACTAGAATAAATTAGAAGCAACAATAGTTTACCGATGTTCAAATATCCTTACTCTATAAATGCCATGCACATCAAATAAATGACAAAACTAAGTGGCTTGTATTAACTGCAAGCCAGACCAGGTGCGATGACAAGGCAAGCGTACATCACTTTACAGCTGAAACCAAACATGATTTTGAGATCATTTTGGGCAAACGCTTTAGAATAGGAGAATCAAATACGGGACTGTGTGTAAATGGATCTTCTAAGGTACATATTTCTTCCATTGTGGCATTTTTATTTTTATAAGCTGATGTGATGAGTTCTAAATTGGGATTTTTGTCGAGCTTCTCGAATGCAAACATGGACTATTGATATGTAACCAGTTTTGTATTTGTTTTGAAAGAAAAAAAATGCATGTCTAATTCAAACTAACTATATTGAAAAATAGATTATCCAAAACCAGTGGTTAATATGCGGAAAAGTCAGAAGATATTAAAAAAGTCGAACAAAAACAATTGGTCGAAGATAGATAGGTAAAACCATGTCCAAAAGACAAAAAATAAAAAGACAAAGAACAGTTAAAAAAAAACAGAAAAGAAAAAACGGGACAACACGAGCCAAAATTAAAACCGGGGATGAACACTAGCGCTCCGGTATGGTATACAGCTCCAGCTCTACTAGGCACGGCCGTTCTTTAAACGGACGCCATCACGAGTTGGTTGACCATAATGGAATATATGTTTCACAGATGACGACGGTTATGTTCCAATTGTCGTAACCACTATCGGTCCTCTTTTCCTCGAATGTCATATACCGAATTTGTACTAACATGAGCAACACGGCGGTGGCCCATGAGGAGCAAGATATGTTTGTCTTTCTGGAGCAATTGAAATTATCCTCGGTTTTTGGTTGGGTTCGTATTGCTAAGTCTTTAGTTTTCTAGGTTGTGTTTGGTGAATTGTTGTTTGTCTATTGGCCGTTTTTCAGTTTTTTTTACCATGGCATTGTCGATTCGTTTTCGATTCATGTCTTGAGCATTTCCTGATTTTGATATTGACACAGAGAAAAGACTTCTAACTATACGCTTTAACAAACATGATGACTTCAACTTTCCAATTGCCAACTTCCAATTATTCAGCAGTAGCATTCCCTCTGCCCCATCGTATGACGTTTACATATCTCGATTGAAAGGTTATACTCGTGCAAGTTGCCACTATACTGAGTTCATTAGAAAGGTTGTGCTTCTTACACACTAAAATGCTCCAGCAGAAATATGAAAAAGAACAAAAATCGACACGCATACGTTTTTGGTCATTATCACGAATACGTTTACCAATACGACATGTCCGTGTCTTCGCACATATGTTTTCGTAGTCTTATTGGGTACTAGGGCCGTCTTAAACTTGCAGCGGAGAGAGAGTTTTTTTGCTCCGTGTTGAGGTCTCACTGTGACTTTGAGATGTAGAACAGCAATAAAAGCGCTGTTCCTTTGCTTTTTGTATGTTTTTTTGTTGTGCATTTACTGATTTTGTGTCATGGATGGATACCCCATATCCTTTGTTTTTTTATTAGAAAATAATACCAAAGGAGGGGCGAAAGATACCAGAGGGACATTCAAACTCATAAATCGAAAATAAATTGACAACGCCATGGCTAAAAAAGAAAAAGATAAACAGACAAACAATACTACACAAAACACAACATAGAAAACAAAAGACTAAGCAACACTTTATAAAATGCATGCATCCGACCCGCTTTTCTGGATCCACCTTCATCAGGAACATTCAAAGCCGAATATTTGAAAGCCAAAGATGTGTAAGAACCGGGACAGTTGAAGAGCTGTATGACCAGAAAGGACTCAAAAGGTTAAATCCGTCTAAGGTCAACTGTGCCTGGTGAAGTTGAAAACGTAGCTTCTTCATAATTTAAAAAATTATAAACGGACAATTTTAGAAAAGTTTGTTTTAATTCATTTCATTACCAAAGTACTGACTACTGAGCTGGTGATACTCTCGGTGACGGAAAGTAAACCAGTTAGATCTTTAGATGCCAAAATAGTCGTCTAATCTGTAATTTTACCGATTGTGACATTTTAACGGAATGTGGATTCGCAAGGCGGGTGAATCATGAGAGCAGGAGACGCTTACCCTAAAGACGCAACCAGTCTCGCTCCTTTTGGAGTTCATGCGATTCCCTCAGTTTTGTTTGTATGTTGCCTTCTTTTTCCTTCTTCTTCGATTAATGAAATTTGAACATAGGTAAGCTACTGTTGCCTTAATGTAAAGAAACAGAACTGACATTGACAAATACAAATATTACAAACAAGGAAACTGAATTAAAAACAGAACGAACCCTTTACAAAATCAGAAGTGAATTATGTGGTACCTGTTTCTCCACTAATGGTACAGTCGTGATGATGTTATTCAAAATTCACTTTAGTGAGGAAATGTCATCATAATAAGGTTAAATTTGAAGATATGATTTCAGCTTTATTATTAAGAGTCTTGATAATATATCTTTTTTGTCAGCACCTCTCGGACTAAAAATTGATTGCAAACGCAAGGCTTGGAATGAGCATATCAATTTGAAAATATGTGGTACAAACAAAACAATAACTTTTGTAACACGAACTCCTTTTAGTTAATAAATTTCTAAGAATGGCAATGAACATCACTTTCCATTTTTCTAATTAACGGAATTGTATATAAAGCATTATCCTATTTCATCTCACAAAAGTTAGCATAAAAAACACAGGAGATACCAAAGGTACAATACAAAATCTTAAGTGAAAAAACCGACAGTATAACGTTACTGATGGAGTAGCATAGTCCTTACTTATACTGCATCGTTTCTTAGTTTTCTGTTCACAGTCCTTCGCGGTAAAGGATGTTCATTCAATATCGAAATACATGCAAACATGTCTTTAAACATATTGCTATGTTTGTCTTTATGTGTATATTGTAAGAATTACCTAATTCCGAGAATGCAATAGAGTACAAAAAAGCGGTACAATTTTATATTTATTATGCAATAAAATCTTAAAATGCATACTATTTTGTGAATTTTGTCTTAATTTTTTTTCAGTCTGTATCGCAGTCAGATGATCGTCATGGAGATTTTGCTCACTTTTGGCCACTCGTTTTGTATCACGTGTCTTTCTTTATATTTATCACAACAATTGGTCTAAATATTATATTTGGTATAATTGTGGATACCTTTTCAGAACTACGGGATTTAAAGGTAATCATAACAAATACGTGTTGGTGTGGAAAGTACTACATAACACTTAAGAAAGAATCATTTAATTGTTTTATATAACTCATACAATAATCCATACACAAACTGTACCAAAAGTTCCAAAAAGTTGTGTTTAAATAAATATAAGATAAAGCAATTCAACGTAAAATGTTTTCGGATTTTTTTGTTTTTAATTCATTTCAATTTCTATCATAAGTGAGGCAATTTGTTTAAACATGATATTATGTTTTACTTACTGAAATCACAAAAATCACATTGATACATTGTTTCCTAGTCAACCAAGTAAGAATTGATGGAGATTCATGATAATTGAGTAGCTCATTAGGAACAGAGAGCTAATAAATGTTTTAGGTCTGTTCATTATTAAAGTGTCCGGGAGAATTAAGAATAATTTCCTATATAATTTATATTCAAAATTTCGAATATGAATCCCAGTAATAGGTGGGGTTACACAGATGATTTTATACAAAATTGACATTCATTACAAAATATATTTGAAATTAGTAATCGTTTTTTTACACTTTTATATTATAAACAAAACACTTAAGTTTAACCTTTTGACCAGCTAGTTCCTAATATTAAAAGAAACCGTATAAAAGTTTGAGATAAAGGCAACTCGAAATAGATTAGTACTTTATTTCTTTTCAGTGGCGTGCTGAGTCAGATATGAGGGAATGTTGTTTTATATGTAGTAGGAACAGCTATGATTTTGAACATACTGGAAAGGTAAACACAATTAAAATCATTCCAAAATTTATTCACATCAGAAAAGGTGTTATTTGAATGTTTTCAATTGCTCCCTGTATACTGAAAATACGATCTGATTTTTCAAGTTGGAATTCCCTTTATTTCATTTACCTTTTAAGAAAAAAAAATCCCAGTACTTCTATTGCAATCTGTATAATCACCATTTAGATAACTATTCAATGCGTAAATTATTATTAAATTGGTTAAATTAAAAGGTTTATTTTTAATTTTAGGGATTTCAGTACCATGTAGGGCACGAACATAGCATGTGGGCATACATTTTGTTCTTTATACATCTAGACAATATCAAACCATCGGATTATACTGCGCTGGAACTTTTTGTGGCCGCACTGGTAATTATATAACAATTTAACATCATATTAAAACTATTAACCTGCCAGTATATTTAATAGGTTAGCCTGATACACCACTATTTAGTTGTACAATTACAGTTATGCCGTTTAAGTATTTACTGTAAACGTGGAAATTAAGCAGCGTTCCAAGAAAAATTCTCCGTGAATGTCGCCAATTGGTGTCTGACGTAATGTTTTGACTTTGTTATCAAATACAGGTAACTTTATAATACTGAGTTCTAATCAGAACATCAGTTGTGACTCACCGTTTACTATTTATCGTATTAGAACCTTTAAAAGTAAATGTAGTAATGTACGTTTCACTAGATCAATGAAACAACTAAAGGAAGACATTTTCAGTAGGACACGAGGAAAGGAGGGAAAACACACAGTCTTTCTTTTTATGCTCTCACAAAAACATTCTGGAGACTATTGTTATCGCTTAGTCCGTCCGTCCGTCCACTTATCCGAATCAAATGATTTCTCGGTGGTTTCATTAGTATCCCTACCTTGATTGGAATGAAATTTATACAGAAGGAAAATATACGGGAAAAAAAGAAAGAAATATTGATTTTGAAGACATTAGGTGAAAGGTGAAGGTTACTGTTACAAAAGTATATTTTTTTTCTTTTGAGAAATGGTTTCCGGATGGTAACTTAATTTCACTCTTTTGATCAGAATGAAACTTGTACAAATAGAAGATAAAGCCTCAAGATTTTGGGATCAACATGTCTTATGAAAAGGTCACCTACTGAAGTTGTATCAAACATTGATTTGTAACGAAGTTATTCAGGTGGAAAGTTGGCAACTATAGTACTTGTTTATTTGTCGCTCCGAGGATACAAATAGCTTAAAACCTTGAAATAATAATGTGTTCCCTCTTTAAATGTGCAGTTCGGGAGCATCAGTTTGCCGTGCAAGCTTTTTTTTTAGCCTTTGTCAGATATTTTGAAATGCAGGATTTGATTAATGTTGACGTTTAACGTGAACTAAAACAGATTATAATAAATGAAACAGCATTACACACACAATATTGATAATATGATATCGGGATGTCTTAAAAACGATATGTGCTTATGATACGTTTTATCAGTACTTTAAACACTACTCATTAACGGATGTTGTTTGTATATTGTTTATTTTTCATCTCAGTGGAAAAAGGAAAACTTCGATTTCTTTCCAATGAACAGAGCTTTATGTTTAGCAAGTGCCGATGACGACGCAAATGATGCTAAACTTGAAGAAGTGCTATCCAAAGTCGCTATGATTCATAGAAAGCAAATGGAAGAGGTATTTTATATTAAAAAAACCCACCATTCTCCTAGTTCACAGATTTTTCTCACTTTTGATTTGCCTGCAGTTCATATGATAGTTTAAAAAAGCTACTTTACATAGTTTTAAATTTCTTGTTATATTTCGACCTATAATTTACACAATATGCTAATGATTTTTTTTAAAGTAGATAATACTTTATTATTCTCAAGTTAGTTGTAACAATTTCGCAGATAAATTTTTTTTTTTTTAAAAAGATGATAGAATACCAAGCCATCATATTATCCTTTTCCAAGTTGTCTGTTTATTTGTTTGCATATCTTGATTATACACTGGAATTTGTTATATAGTTTGTCTCGGTGATCTAGACCTTCATTCTACATCTTCACATACATGCATTCTTCATATTTCAGTGGCGTTTACTAGTAAAATGTCAGGATCTTAATCAAATGGGGTTTTATTGTATTTATTAGGAAATTGAAAAGAAACGTCGTAAAGAAAAGCTTCGACAGAAACGTTGGCATGAGAGACACAGGGCATATGTTTTTGATGTATCACAAGCTGCAGGCCAAGAAACTCCTCCTTTGTCTAAACGGAAACCATCAGGAAAAACTGAGCATGAAACATTTACATTAAAATCTGAAGATGGGTCAAGTATCTTAAGAACAGAAGATGATGACAGACATTCGGGTTTTTCGGACGTTGACTCGATAGGAAGCTACGACGAGACACCAAGACGACCGACGCGGGCAAGGTCAGCGACACCTGAAGAATCTACTAAACTGTAACAGCCATATAACACGAATCAAATTTTAAAAAGTCTTCGAATGAGAGAGTCGTAAAGACAAATGTAGAGCTATCTCCTAAAATATTGAAGATCATATTTCAAAAGGATATACTTGTTATGTTTATATTTTAAGAATAACACGTGAAATAATAGAATAACATTTAATTTTAAAGATAAAATGCAATTGAATGTAAATACAAAAAGTCACAATTATTTTATTCAGCGTATTATTTTTGAAACGGGTACTTTTCCCATTGTTCACTGCAACACAAGATTTACAAATCCGGAATAAAGAAAACTTTCGCTCTTGTATAATAGTTTATGCTCCAATGCTCCTCATTCACGTAACTCTCTTGTCGCAAATGTATACTCTTTCATATAAAGATTCCTTAACAACATCCGCTGTCCTACTTTAGAACAACTTAGATCGAAGAACGATTAGACAAGCACCTACTGATAATTTATTTACAAATAGGAAAGGTGATATTAATGGTGCATTTGAAGACCATAATATAATGTTGCCTCCAAAAGATTTTATCTGGTACGGTCTGTTGTCCTGTTATGTTTAAAGGAAACGGTTTGCGCATGTTTTGATATGCTTTTACTCTTATTATACCTTTATCTATTGAACTTGTTTTTAATTCATAACAATTTGTTTATTATCCATATATAGTTTATAATTCTATAGTGGAGTACACCTCCTAAGCTTATCACTTGTGACTATTCCATTGTCATGTAGTTGATATTATTACAATATAAAATACTATTTACAAAATATTTACAAAATAAAGTAAATACAGGAACTAAGTTTAGTGTACTGTATGTTACTGTTATTATTGGAAACTGCCTACATGTATGTGCTTTTGTTATTAAAGAGAAAGTTGATATTAGCAGAATATTTCCGCTGTTCGTTGTTGTTCAGTGGTCGTCCTGTTTTCTCGTATACTTTTATATTTTATAAATGTAAAGACATATTGATTTTAAAGCATTTATATGTGTGATATTACATAAACGTATGTCGTTTTAAAAGAATTAATATGTATGTAATATGTATTGGAATAAGTCAATGCATATATCAATGCATATATACATAGCTGTATATATCTAACTGTTTTAGAGAATAATGATACATTTTATATATAAACATCATGTTCTTAAAATTTTGATATTTGTTTCCAACAGTACTAGTGAAAATCGAAACAGCACCACAATTCTTAATATATTACTGAATTTTTATTACTTTGATTAAAATATTCACTTATAATACATGATTGTATAAAACAATGTTTTTGCTTTTTTATAAAACGGTCATTGAAGCGTTTTATTTTCACGTGCCATGATGGAGGCCTTTTGGTACATGTAAATTTCTTTTTTGAAAAAAAGTTTATAAAAATGAATCATATGTTCTTCAATTGACCTCAAGGGTACTTGAATAAATAACTGTTTCTTATAGCGTTGTCATGTGTATGAACCTTTTAATGCTCCAGTCAGTATGTTGACTATATTATTGCCTATGTCCGTCCGTCATTACGCCACTTCGTTCTTCTGAAATCAAACAATTGTCCGGAATTTTTCTTCATTATGCCTGCAGATGTTCATCTGATTTGTTGTACATATGTATATAATGATGACTTCATGTAACAGAAAAGGTTTGCGTTTATGTTCCAGTTTACTGACTTTTGACAGAATTACGAACCTTACTCTTTAAAAAATCGTGAGAGTTGTACTTTCTTGTAATACTTGCAGATCTTTGCCGATTTTTAGAACATTAGGGTAAAATGATGACTTAAATGGAGTTTAGTTTTGACGATACGGCTGTATTCGGGGACATTGGTGTTGTATCGACACACCTAGTCTGAGATTAGTAACTCAGATCTAGTGTATGATTTATATTAAATAAGTGTTATCCTTAGTAAATTCCAAATGTTGTACACATAAATCAGACAGTTGGTTTTCGTGTTTTAATTAACGGTTTTAGATTGTGTCATATTGGGGCCTTTAATATCTTACAACTATACAGTATGGGTTTGCTCGTGGATGAAGGCCGTCTAGTGTTATATAATAGTTTCTCGTTTCTACATCATTTGGTTTCTGGGGCAGTGTTGCCTCATTGGCAATCATATCACATCTTTTTGTTTTTTTTCCGTAAATTCAAAAAGGTTTCAATTATTGTTTATATTACAAGACAGCTGCAAGCGTCATTTTAGATGACACTTACCTTGATGATATATTGCCTGACAGCTGCAAGCGTCATTTTAGATGACACTTACCTTGATGATATATTGCCTGACAGCTGCAAGCGTCATTTTAGATGACACTCACCTTGATAACGATGCCACTAAGTTGTGTATACAAAATTGAGTTCTGTTTATTGCGGTGATAATCAGCTGTATGGTTTTGTGAAATGTAGTAACCAGCGTTGTCGTCAAAAGGTTTCTATAATAGTTACTACATACAAACAAATCGGTTTAAATGTTCAGAATAATTTGATAATTCCTCGACATTTTCTTCTTCGTCGTCTTATTTGGCCAAGATCGTAATCTTTTTTCAATCAATGGCAATTGTGTTATAATATTGTACATGTAAGTAAAGGTTATTTTCCCAGTTTGCTTAAAATTAAATTATGGATATCATTATTTATTAGATACTTGATTGGTAAAATATTGGAGTCTGATTTAAGTAATATCGCTTAAATAGCATTCTCGTATCATCAAATTATGCCCTATAAATCTACATTCATGCCGTAACAGCTGTATAATAAAAAAAATTTCCATTTCTTTACAGAGCATAACATGTAAACACACCAACATACGGGTGATTTACTTCACCTTTATAATCAATGATAAAAACAAATCACTCGAAAGATGCTAAATGAAATGATGCATGACTGCATCTTGTAATGCAATTTGTCCCAGTGAAACAATATAAAAACAACCACTTCAAAGAGCTAGATTGTGTATGTTTCAGTGGTGATAGACAATACGTTAAACCATCCAAGCAATGTAACAAACAATATATTGCACAGTAATGATGAATTCTTCTAGACATTCTTGCATGCATTATTTGAAAAGGTCAATGATATTCAGAATAAAAAATAAAGATTTTTAAAGGGTCAAGTTTAAGTTTAAAATTCGTTTATTGTCCGACATGCAATAACATAACACTTAGCAGATAAAAACATGCTGAGTAGATAATAAAGTTAATGATGCAGGATAAGGTCGTTACAGGTCAACGTTCATATTATGTTTGTTGACTTCGAATGCACATTAAGTTCAGGTTATTGATTTAATTAAAAGATAAATGTTTTCTATCATAACGAAATGTTTCATTCATTGATTAAAAATTCAATCATTGAATCACTAAGGGGATTTCAAAATGCTGATGCGTCGCCGTCGTCGGAGATCAAATTATTATCTGTTACGAAAGAAACTGGAACTTAAATTTCGAAAGAAAACTACACCAACAATGCATGTAAGTATACAATTTTAATACTTTGTCTGGACAAACTAAATACCACAATTGCCATTCTCTCCCGCCACTGAATTAATCTCAGTCCTTTTTTCTATGTTCATCAAGTAAAGAAAAATTTATTTATTCATTTTCGAATACTTAGTCTAGTAGATATTGTTTATACAAAGTCTATTGCATAAAAAAATAAGAAAAACTAGAATTAAAGAAATTTTCTATTCGGCAGGATTTATGCCTGATTATTATCAAACTGTAATATTGTTGTGTGTTAAAAGATAATAAGGTTGTACATGTCCTGTCTAAACGAAGTCGGATCTTCTGCAAGAATTGTTTTAAGATCTCTATGTTATTTTAAAATTGTTCGTTTTTCGTACTAGTGTAACTTCCATTTTTGATTTTTCAGTTGTTTATATTGTTGATTGTTCCGTTTTCTGAATAGTTTACTAATAACATGAGATGTCTTTTACTTGCAAAATATCAGTGTGTATTGATGAAATGCTATAATTTGATAATGCCGTTTTTCATTCTCTGTTACATACCTTTTTTTGTATTTCATATTCTTTTAAAATTCAAAGCATCGGTATATTATGCTTATATAGATGATAAATTTCCAATTATCTGCTGAAAAGAATCAATCTAATATCTTAACCAAGAACTTTTGTATCAACAAATGAAAATGTTTTAATCGTTCCGCTCACTGGATTGCATAAGTCATCTCATCTATTCAGCTAGTTTTAGCAACAATGGTTTTGAAATAAATAATCGAAATATTTACATAGAAAATAAGGCATCGAAGTTCTATAAAATACCAATAAAACAAATTCCCTAAGCAATACTAATGCGACAATTATTTAATTACCTCAAGCTCTAATACATAATTAATAAACAGTATTCTGAATAATATGTTCGACACAAGTGCAACAAGTTAAAATATCTTGCAATGGAAAGGATATGAATTTTATTTATCATCATTACTGCGAATTGATATCAGAGAACTAATAAACAAAATATGTTATGTTAATGGAGAATATCATTGGAAATGAAAGTAGGATGAATAATCAGGTAAGAACTATTATGTGATTGAAAACTGCTTTTTGACTTATACATTATGGCTAGCATAGGTCAAGTTTGCACAGGGGTCAAGTTCTCAGCATATGGCAAAATTTGGGGTACTTTTCTAATTTGCATAGCGGTCATATTACCTTATCATGACGACAGCCATTGCAATAGGATTATACATGCCTTTAAATAAAAATGCAAATATGCCAATTCCAAAGTCAAATCAACAATTTGTTCGCATATAGGTGAATTATACATGTTTTTGCCGTATGTTCGTGTACAAATGAACATTGTCTACTTTAAAAACGTTCGGCCTTTTCAGTTTGAAAATCGGAACGGTCACCGTAATATAATTGCTATATAAAATAACGAAAAATCGTAAAATAACTAAATTCAAAATAGAAATAAAGATAAAAGAAGATGTTGTTTATGATTTGTTCGCATACAGAAAACACCTTGAAGGCTGAATTTTCAGGTTAAACATCTTTTATCTTACCTGCTTTCTTTAGTTTTCGGCCATTTTTTTTTAAAAACACGATGATTTCATCCTGCCCATTTCGTAAATATTAAAATTTTCAGCATTTTCCCTTAGAATTACACAATACTAATATAGTTGTAAATATCCGCAAAAGGTGCCTACTTCGATTCGTCCAACTCGGGTTAGTAGAGTCTGTCGAGTTTACTCTACTGACAATCGAGTTTGACCTTTTGAAACTACCCGAGTTAACTCGACATCAACCCTGGGTTGGCGCAGGTTAAGTAGAGTTTCAAAATGGCGTCAATCAGCTCCAGCAAAGAAATGTATGATACAAAATAACTGACATTTGACAAAAAACAGCCTAAGAAAGGGGCTGACAAGTGGAATTTATTTTTGCCTGTATGTTGGCATCAACAGATATGGTTCAAGTGTAAACTAAATGTCGGTGATGTTTATAAATAGAACAGAAATTAATTTCGGCATGCTCAGAGTTGCACGTTTTGTATTACAAAAATACTTTTACTTTACCATATCAATGCCACTTATGCATGTTATGTAGGATTTCTGGGCGTACATGAACACGGGAGTGTTTGATACATCAGCGCATCACACTGAAGGGGATATGGTAATTTTCTCCATCTGACTGTCTGTCCGTCCGTCGCTCGGTAACCCGTTAATACATCTAGACCGTTTATCAGAAATCCAGGGAACCAACCATCCATCTTTTGTTAAGGGGGGGGGGGGGGGGGGGGGGGCATGTTATTTTTCTCAGAACGAATTTTTTTTTCACAAATTTTTTCAGATACAAACTATTTTTTCCAATAGCATACAGGATCAGGACTTTTTTCTTTCTGAAACATAATGTATTTTTTTTTTATTCTTATCTTCAGTAGAAACAAATTTTTTTTTCACTTCCCTTCTGAAACAAATCATTTTTTTTTCATGAAATCCTGAATCAAACTATTTTTAATAGGAATGCGAAAAATTGTTCTTATGAAGAACTGTCCGGGTCATTTTCAGATTAAAACTGAGCAAACTTTTCTAAAGTTGAAATCCCGGAATCAGATCCAGATTAGAATTGTCCAAAACTGCTTTTGTGTATTTTCATAACCAGTTCTTGTGTAGAACTTTTCAAATCTGTTCTAGGATAGAACTGTCATAATCGGTTATATGGATAAAACGGTCCATAACTGTCAATAGTTCGAACTGTCAGTAACTGTGCAAGCTAAAACTGCCAAAAAAATTGTTCTGAGGTAGAATTGTCAGAATCAGTTTTAGTGTAGACGTGTTCAAAATTGTTATCACTGGTTATATGGTAGAACTGAAGTAATCAGTTCTGTGATAGAACTTTCCAAATCTGTTCTAAGGTAAACCTGTCGGAATAAGATATTATAACTGTCCAAATCTGTTTTGAGGTAGAACTGTCATGATCAGTTCCAGGATTAATCTTCCAGAGGCAAATCCGTTCTTGGGAACAGTTCTAAATCACGTTATTTAGAGCAGCTTTCTGATCATGATTTAGAACTGTTCTAGTTGAAAAGGAAGTTATTATTAGTATGCTTAAGCAGAGTTTAAAATTTACAAATTATATCAGCTCAAATCGAACTGCTATTCATTTGGGATATGTAAATACGTAGCTTCGATTGTAATTACTTTAACGTCGTTAAATTTGAAATTTTAGTATTATACCAGCTCAAATCGGTCAGTGCTATTCATTGGCAATTACATGTATTTCTACGCAGTCTCTGTTGCGATAACTTAACTTTCGTCATCTGTGAAATTTTAGTATTGTATAAGTTCATATCGCACATCACTATTCTTTTTAGAAGCATATCTATGCAGTCTCTGTTGTAAATATTTAACCTACGTCATCATTTTGAAATTTTAGAATTATATAAGCGTTTTTCAGTTTTTAATTGTATAACTGTAAAGATTTATATGTTTAAATCAGAATAGATTGATATGATTAATTTTACATCATCATCATACTAATGAAGAAGATCTGTTATCCGAAATATTTATAGATACTTATATTTAATGTTTCCTTTTTTTAATATTGATGTTGTTTTGTACACTTTTTAGGCGTTTATGATTTATTTATTGTGTTCAGGTATCAATACTCGTAACGATTCAGCGCCCTCGTAAGTAAGGTCGTTGACTAATATCTAAACGTTATATATATATATATATATATTTAGACAAATTATGTATACAGAATGTGTTTTTCAGCCTTATATCACCATCACTGGTGATCCGATTGATAGCATCTGTCGTAGAGTTGTCACTGGTTCAGACGTACTTATAATATAATTATTTCCGTGACTGCATCCGACATTAATTTGTAAGATTCTCTACGATAGATAATTCAGCTGATCTGTAATATTCCAGCTTCATGCCTTATATATCATGTACTGTGTTACGACGCTAGATAAAAACTGACGAGGAAAGGTAACACCCGGCCACCGAAAGCTTGAATTTTGTCGAGCCTAGGTGGTCGAGTGGTCTAGCGCCACGATATGTCAGTAGCATGAGTCCGAATCCGGCTTCCGCAAATTTACAGATCTAACATTGTTGGACTGTTATTTAGACGAATTAAATATATATATAATATATATATATAAACAAGTCTAAATTGAAAACAACGTTCAAACCTATGACTGCGTTGGATAAAAACCGCAATTTTTATACGTATGCATGCAAAACAAATTTCTTGGTAGAGGGATTTAAATACTCATATATATATATATATATATATATATACAAGTCTAAATTGAAAACAACGTTCAAACCTATGATTGCGTTGGATAAAAACCGCAATTTTTATACGTGTGCATGCAAATCAAATTTCTTGGTAGAGGGGTCTAAATACAGCACAAACAACATTTTCCAAAAGACCAAAAAGTGAAAAAGTATATTTTAACAAAACGCATTTGACTTGCAGGTCGAACAACGGATGTTCTTAAACCCTGCTGACTGCCATGGCGATTGCCAAATAAACGGATCACAGATGTAACAAAATGGATCTTAATTTTAATCTAATACCAAATAGAAAACAAAAAACTTGCGGAAAAGATGGTATACCGCAAACATGAGGTGCACAAATTTTTACACCATATCCGGATTTCGACAATTAATGTCTCTTCAGTGATGTTAGGAATCGAAACGGTATTTGGAAGGCCATATAATTTACCTCAATTTGGGATTGACTCTTGAATTTTGAAGAGTCGAAATAGGATGAACGGATCATATAAACCCGAAGGCAAATATAATACAAGCCCAAACGAAAAAATATAAACAAGTCTAAATTGAAAACAACGTTCAAACCTATGATTGCGTTGGATAAAAACCGCAATTTTTATACGTGTGCATGCAAATCAAATTTCTTGGTAGAGGGGTCTAAATACAGCACAAACAACATTTTCCAAAAGACCAAAAAGTGAAAAAGTATATTTTAACAAAACGGATG